CTGCCCTCAGTGTGACAGTTTGATGAGCTATTAGTCGACATAATTTATCGTGTGTTTCGCTCCGCCTGCAGACTCTCTGTCTGCTGTGGGACGACATGCCTTTGTCCTGACTGCTGCTCAGGACACGCATACACATATACATACATGCACACAGAGTCATACGCCTCTGACGTAAAGAAACATGTTGCTGTGTTTCGTAAGAACGTGATGGAGCAGAGTCACCGAAGAACTGGAGTGTTACGCCACAGGATGAGGAATCTTCAGCATTTTAAAAATGGAAATGGACACATGTAATAAACTGTAAATGTTTTCTCTGTTTCCTGATGGAAACCTTCTTCTCTCATCCTGTGTTGTTTTATCCAACAAAGTAAAGAAGCCAATTTGTCCAGGACTCAGAAACTGACCACAACAGCATGAGAGTAGAATCTCACTCAGTAAAGATCATAACACAGTCTCAACATTATTCTCAACATCTCCTTTATCTTTTCCTCAACGTGCACAATACACAGAAGGTAAAAATAAATGGCCGCTAAATGCTCTACTCACGTCCCATCAAAGCTTTCTCACTAAAAACAGCTGTTTGCTGAGACTGAAAGAAACATGGAGTTCTTAAACCAAAACAATCGCTTAAAGACGCTATCTGAGGAGCCAGGGCAAACAGCAGACCACCAACTCCTCTTCACACATTCGTGTTGAAGGACAGACGGCTCTGAGGTCGCTGGGTGGCTGATCATGACCTCTGACCTGTCGGGTGGTATCAGGCCGGGGTCATGGCGACGACAGGTTGTCTGAAGCTGTGTCCCCTCGGAAATGGGTCGACTGTCGGGAAACAGTTTCCTAACTTGGAAAAGAAACCAAGTATTCTGTGTAAATTTCTTACTACTCAGGAATCATGCATGACAAGAAACCATCTAGACTTTATTCATATCCTGTTGGTTTTTGAGGCCACGCATTACGCAACAATGTGTGGACTGTTATATTCCCATCATCTTCTGTTAACCATGCTGATACCATGGAGAAATACTATAACACGTAATCTGTAGCATGGTGGATTTCAAAGTTTGAACAACTCAACGTGCTGTGAAAGGAAAAAGAAGGTGGAATAGGACGGAGGTTGAACTCAGAGGAAGATAAGAAACAATTAGTCAATACTCATTACATTAAGGATTAGGGTTTACCTCAGTGTGAAAGGTTAATGGTGGACAACATAATACTCAATCTTTCAAGTTCATAATGCACATTCTTCCACAGGCGCTGCCCTCCACCTGGTGTGGCGTCAAACGTAGCGTCACCCTTCGTGTTGTGGTTTCATGGTCTTGGCTCTCACTTGGTTGGTTTCGTAACCGGCCTGTTGCACAACCGCTGGAGCCGCCGTTAAGGGACGAGAGGAAACACTGAGGGGAGAGGCGAGGGGCTCTCTGTCTTGGCGGAGGGCAAACTCCCAGCTCGATAAGAAAGGTGAGAGGTAAACATTGACCCTGGTCCTATCGCTGCTTGTCCAGGTCCATCTTTCACAGGAGAAACTATGCAAACAGCGAGGATGCACTGATAACTCTCTTTCAGCCCGGGCAGTAAACTTTAAGTATCGCCTGATAACAAGGAGCAGAGCCGAGGCGCCGCAGTTTCTACCGTCGCTTCAGGTTGATGAGAACACATGATCCACAGGAGCCATTTTCTGTGTGAGAAGGTTCAAGCAAATAACTCCAACAAATTCAAAGATCTGATGTCGCTGCTGTATAAATATTACGATTATTGAATTATGAATTTCTGGTTTTGTTCTGTTCATGTTCTTGTATTTTTTCATTCAGTGGGTTTGTTCTGGATCAAGTGAAAGTTTGAAACCCGATGAGAAAAATAACGACCTGCAGCCCAGCGCTGTGCTGGTATTAGAACAGTGATCAGCTCCAGTGGGACGACAAGAGGGAAATGAAAAGAAACAGAGTCATTAAAACCACAGATTAAGGTTTTACTTCATTTCAAATAAAAGGAGGATGGTAATACAAGATGACCCGACCCGTCTGTTAATGTCTAACTGGATCAGTAACCATGCAAACGCTCACTCTGACCTCCTACATGAGCTTCATGTAAACAAACATGTGGAAAAGAAGGTGTTTGTAAATGGACACTCGACATTATTACAGTCTATTTAGTTTGAGTTAACAACGTTCAAACATCACGATGAGGTGAGTTTTCCTGTGACCGTAACAGAGACTTTTATTCAATATCTGTTGTTTCTTTACTTTGGTCGTCACGTTTTCCAGACACATTTCGACTCTTTGCACAAAGAGCATCACCTGCACCAGAATGAACAGAATTGGTTGTTTATATAGTTAATGTTTACAACCCTGGTCTGAGCCTCGTGGTTGGTTTCACACATATATGACTTTATTGCACTGCGATGTCGGAGACCGCAGGCTCATAATCATGCATGTGTGCGTAAACACTTTCCAACCTCTGCAAACATGAGGTCAGGATATTGAATTTCTCTGTGACTCTCACTGTTAATCAGATCCATACAGAACATTTGCTGTCCACCTCAGTCGTAAACAGACCGTTACATGTGGCCCCATAACGTTTTACTGGGACTGTGCATGATACCAGCCATGTCTGATTTTAATGACACGTGAAACAAACAGGGGGAGGAGGGGGTGAGACGCCTGACAACAGTTTCAGTAGATTTATGGAATAGATATAGATTTATCGAAAAACACAGAAATACAATCATTTTCACAACTTAAATCCAAAAAATGTTAAAAAGATTAGTTAAGAGCGCAGCAGAGAGTGAGCTCTGTTAAAGGTTCATACTGAAAACCCCATCTTTGTGTCATTTGAGTTTTGCTCGACAGATTCTCTTCACCTCAATCAACTGCTCTTCATCATCTGCTCCAATCAGTTGCGGTGTCCCTCAAGGTTCTAATTTAGGTCCACTTTTATTTTCTCTTTTTATGCTTCCTCTTGTCTTCCGGCTTCTTCTTAAATTCTGTTCTTTTCACTTGTTTGTCTTTTATTGTATTTTCTCTTGTTTTTTCTTTATTCTTTAGTTGTTTTCCCTTTGCCATGTTTGCAAAGCTCCTGTTGTTTTTAATGTGCTATATAAATGACTTCATTTGTTACTTTGTAAACACAAATACCAAATGTCCCAGTCAGTTTGACTTATAAAATAAAATTGTAACAATAGAAACATTTCAAATTAAAGTTGTTAAAATCATCAGTATGTTTATCAACTTCATCAACATGACATGAGTCCATCAGAGTAAAAACAAAAAAATATATTTTATTCTATGAGCCACACTCACCTGAAACAGTACAGCTCACAGGAAGTGGTGTGTCTAGGAAGTCTGTGCCTCCACCTGTTGGTCACTTGGTGCACTGCAGGTCCCAATTAAAGCCTTTTAGTCGATCACAAATGTTTTGACCATAATAAGTAGTTTTTAGGCGTGAAAAAGAATAAATACAACTCACACAGCAACTGTCCATTCAAATATGAATGTACCTTTCATTTTAATTTAGTTGACTTTGGATCAGACCTAATATTAATGGGCAAATACTTGATATAGACGTCCTGACCCATGAACACGTTAAAAAATATGTTTTCAGTGATGTTCAGGGGACTAAAGTTGTTCATGGTGGATTTTGAGCTCTGCTTTGAGTCATTGTCCAGTTTTTTCTCTTGAGTTTCTTTTGAGTCTTTCACTTCAGTGTGATTTCTTCACATGTTGGACATTGTGGTATTTTCAAGCAGGAAGCAATTTCAGATCATTTTTAACCTTTTCACTTTATCGACATTGTTTCGTTTTCAGATTCTCGGTCAGTTGCTCACAGAGGAGTCGATGGTTTTTGAGTTATTCCTCCTGATGAAACATAATAAATGTTTGTAACAACATTCAAAGGCTTTAAATGAATCATCTGACGTGTATCTACTCTTTTATAGTACAGGTTATTATTCTCCTTTATTCCCCCCCGTAAATCTAAACATTTGTTTAATCTTTAATTATCTATAATTTACATGATGTCATTGTCATATATCCAGCTTAGTAATGTTTTTACTGAAACCTGCAACAAACTGGCTCATAAATCAATCAAACAGGATCTTTTGGAAAAGTTTTGAAGTCAAAACTGTTGAATCCCCACACATGAAAATATCAACACCATTACTGTGAGTATGACGTCTTCTGCCTGCATGTGCCACCTGCAGACACTTGATGGCGCTATTGATGTGTGGTTATAAAGCTGCTGCTTGGTCGTCATGACCCTTGGCTCTGTGTGGACTCATCTCTCCATCTTGTACCAATGAAGCTTATCACTGTTTTGCATGTTACAGTCCGTCGTCACGGCGGCAGAGTCCTGACACCAGAGTGTCTGTCGGACGAGCTGCTGCTACATCACTGAAGAAGAAGAAGGACGACTTAGTCATGATAATAATGTGTTGGGGCCCAAATCGCCTTTAGACTGTAAATAAACATGGACGACATTTATTATTCACGTCCTCCCACAGTTAGAAATTAAGCCAAAGTATCCCTGATACAAACGCTACAGCCATGAAGCAAGACGGCTTCATGTGGAGCTGTTGGAAAAATACACGTAAACCTTGGTTTATCTTCTGGGCTGCATCCACTGGATCACCTGCGTTCATCCAACATGGAGAGGGATCAACCGCTGAAGAGACGAGTACAGTTGTGAGAGTTGTTATTTTAAAGATGAACCGTCCTCTGTGTGGGATCCCTGGGAACATGGCGTAACAATCTAATGGCTTTGATTTAGAAAATCCAGCCTCTAGTCATGGTTGCCAGAAACATCCTGTAACTTTGCACTACAAGGCATTTAAACAGAGTCTGGACCTGAGCTGTGTGTTTCACTAAGATTCATTACAGTCAATATGATTCACATTCATTTTTGGTCTGCTCCTCAATGATTGGAGGAGGAGGAGGAGTGGGAGAAGGAGGAAGTGTCTCCAAAATGTTTGAAAATATTAACCTTGTTTCTGAAAATAACAGACGATGTGACGACAGGATGAAATCCTTTATTATGTCAGAATATGTTTTAAGGGAAAATGAAAAATGTCAATTAACAGTGATGAATCTTTAACAAGGTTCTGTGAAAACATTGTTATAGCTTTTGAACTGTGTGAAGACAAGTTTATTGATTTTATTTGAAATGAAATCAGTTTCTCTTGGGGCAGGACTGCTGCTTCCCTCTGTTGCCGCTCCTCTGGTAGTCGACAAAGAAGTCGTTGCAGGCGACGGTCAGAGCAGCGACCAGAACCACAAACTCCTGGAAGTCCACTTCACCGTCCTGGTTTGCATCCAGTTCCTTCATAATCTTGTCCACCACCATGGGGTCCTTGCTGTCCTGTAAACACAAAGAGCAATTTGTTTCATAAGATCAAATCCTAGTGGTGATTTCCCTGCATGGTCTAAGCCTTGAAAATATAAAAAGGTAGGTCCTCTTTTCAGCCTCTGTCTCAAACATTTGGTTTTAGCTTCCGTCTCTTTAAGGCCACTCTGCTCTGATGTGATTAGTTTACCGCTTCCAGTGCATGTAGGACATTTCTGTCTCCACTCTCACTTTTCCTGGCTTAGTTAGGAGAAGCTGCTTTAGGCGTGCATCATGCAAATTTGAGGCAAACACTGGCCGGAGCTTCAGATTTCAGAGGAGCTGCTTTTACCACAAACGTTAACGTTTGCAGAACCTTAACATTCACAAAAAATGTTCACCATCCTAACAAAAGAAATGTTGTGAGCTTAATAAAGAGATGAATAAGTTATTTCCTGAGTCAATAGCAGCATTCTTAGGTAACACTGCAAGTACTCTGAAGTTCCAAACATCCGATTACATGTAGGAAAGATACTCACAGCCAGTAATTCTGAGAGTTGATCCTGGAACAGGGTCTTCAGTTCTTTGTTATTCAGCTTGTACTTGTCGCCTTCTCGTCCGGAGTACGAGTGGAACACTCCGATGAGGCAGGTCATCGCTTCTTGCAGGTTGTGACTCATTTTTTCAGTCCTGCAGTGGGATGAGACAAATCAAGACTCAAGTCAAGAGTTTTCATACAGAGAAGGTGAAAGAGGAAACGTTCTCCATGTTCACAGTCAATGAACCAACAAACTCTTTAATCAAAAGTTTCAAGTAAAAAAAGTTACAAAATAAGAAAAATAAAAGACACCAACAGGTAAAAATGTCTCATTTGCACTTGTGATGTGCAGTTAGAAACTGTGCTTTAAATAAGTGGTGAATACATGAGCACGTTCTTCTCAGATTTCATATTCTGTTTCGTCATGTTGGAGATCAGTCGTCAATCAGCCGACTGATGTGAAGCAGCAGCAACACTATAAATAACTGAGCTTAAAAAAAGTCTCATGAGAATGTAGGAAAAAGCTGGAAAGCAAAGGAACATTTCTGCCCCTTTCTTTTCATAAATTAACCAAATGTAACCACATCCTCAGAGCGTCGTTGTTTAGCTTTACCGAAACCTGCTCACGTCTGTGCTGAACTCAGGTGGAGGAGTTAAAACTGTCTGAATATCTTAACCTTACACCATCAGACACCTGAGAAGCTGCTGCTGCTGCTGCGGCCTCCATGAACCGGTGGAGGACAAAGGCACCGACCTCCTGCGGGGCAGCGTGCACATGGAGTGGATTCCGATTGTGTCCTGCATTATGTTACATTAAGTGATGCCCCTTGAGAAGTTCATATTTCATACAGTGATGCAGAGAACTGCTGCAGTCTGGTAATGAGCGTGTGCATCACCGCTGAATGATGCCGAGCCACATTACCTTAATTAGTCTCCGTGATTGCTGCTAATAATTTATTTCTGGGAGCTAATTAAAGGCCCTTTGAATGTCAAATGCAAATCTGGTTTTAATTAACTGCAGCAGAGACGAGCGACAGACTGCAGACGCCACTCAAAGTGGAAATGATAAAATAAAACACACACTCTGTTGTTATTCTCACTGTGGAAGCAGCAGACGAAGACAAACAGCAGGAACTCACCTGGACAGTGACGCTGACGGCTGCAGGTGGAAGTGGCTCCAGCTCACATCTCATCACTTATATGCGCTCCTCTCACCTGTGTGCAGATCAGTCAGAGTGACGCCCCCCTCTGGAGAGTGCTGCTGCAGGTCCGCCTGAGCGGCCATGTAAGGCAAGAACAGGGAACGTTTACTCTGTCAAAGCAGGAAACACAATGAAACAGATAATGACTGTTTAACTGTGACATGTTTATCTGAGCCCTGCAGAAACTGAGGAGTCACTCGAATTATTTTATACAAATATTTTATCACCTCATAAATGTATGGGTTGGAAAACGACTCATTCAAACTGAAGCGGTGAAACATTAACTTTAAGTTGAATTTAAATCCAAACCGACGGTTGCATAAATACAAAATATACCAAATGTGTTTAAAAATAAATGTTTTTTTTTTGTTTTTACATCTAATCAGTGTTTTCTTCTGTTTCATTTTATCTTTATTTTTTTAATAAAAGTGCAGCAATGTGTGTTACATTTTATTCATGAATTGTGTGATAGAAGTTTATTTTTGTTATTATTACAGGACATGTGCTGTCAGGGCCCATAACAGGGAATAGTTAAGCTGAGGAAATCAGACCTCAATCTTCACCGTCTATTTTTAATCTCTTAGAAATTTCAGCAACTATTTGTTTCTTTCATCTTTAATTTAAACCATTTGTTAATTTGCTTGTTTGCTTTGATGTTTTATATTCTGGTTTGTATTCGTCTTCTTTGTGAAACACTTTGAGAAGGTGCTTTTAAAGTTTTTATTATCATACATTTTTTCAATCAATATACAAGAGCAGAATTTGAATACGCTTATTTTTTTTCAACATCAATAATTAATAAAGACAACCTCTCTCTTTAAAGGTCCATGTAGTCTCTGTTCTGGGGCTGTTGGTTGTATTACATGATTTTCCTCTGCAGTTTCCCAGCTGTCATGGAAGTGTAGTTGTTTGAACGGACATTTTTTCTCAAGCTCCTTAAAAGCACAACATGTCTGTGCTTCCTTCAAGTTCAGTGACGTGTGCTTTAAATGAAACAGCTGTTAAATGGACCATGTGCTGAAGTTGCTTTGTCATTGAGGTTAAAGGTTAAACAAGCTGTCAAGCTGAGTACGCGATAATATTTGTCACAGGCGATTTTATTTTGTGAGGACAATCTATAACCTTCAGAGCTGAAATGGAAGCTGTCAAGATTTTCTTTACTTTTGTTTGACATATTACGGCTGAAACGATCACAGCAACAAGCCACGTTTGTGATTTGGTCATTTTAGGTCAAAATCAACTGCAGGTGAAGAACTCGACAGGTTTAAACCCAAAAACAGATTCTGAGCTCTGAACCCTGCTTCATGTACACACTCATACACTTGAGTGACGTTTGCCTGCAGAGTCATACAAAGATCTTTTTTTCTTATCGTACAGCTCTGACCTCTGAGCTGCCTCTAAGACTCACTGTTGCTCATCAGTGGGTTTATTTACTGCAGCGTCATTTGCAACGATTATGCCTGAATGATGCAATGACGAATGCAAATCAGGTGCACGCCAGTCAAATGTAATGTTCACTGATGCAAATGATCAGGATTCATTTGCATCAGTGTCCCCATGTGAAGAATATGAAGGTTTTATTGATGCGTGATTCTGAACAACTGTAAAACTAAATGAATTTTCTATCAAACCATGTTAAAACTGATCTGAAGTCTGTAAACTGGTCCGCATCAGATTAAACCTACATCTCAAGCACATGGTGAATTAATTTCCCACGTTTCGTGATTGAGTAAATGTTCCTGAATTCAACTTTGGAATTTTATTATTAATGGCAGCCTGACACGTCCTCACATCAGAGACAGATTTTCTTTTCTTGGTTTGATGAATTCCTGTTTGAAGACAAAATATTTTCTTTGACAAAATATTTTCTTTGACTTGACAAATTGTGACATGTGCATGAGAGCGCCTCATCTCTTTTTAGAGGGAAACCATGACGACGGTCTCTGATCCCTGCAGAGAGCTGCTGAGGGATGGGAGTCAAACGCACTTTAAAAGGCAGGAATATATTTTTTATTAAGTTACACAGAAATACATCAATATTGCATCGAATTATGAATGTCCAGCATTTTACGAGCATTTTATGAATGAAGAAATTCTGGAAATATAAAAATCTGCATCAAAAACAGAGCAACATTTGACAAATGAATGAATAATTTTATGCAAAATACTCAAAATAGTGTATTTTACGTCTGCGGCCTTTTGCCTTGTGCTGCAGAAAAACATCTGGGACTCTCTATTTTTCTGGTGTTGTAATAATTTAAGCTTATTTTGTAACATCTCTCTTTCCCTTAGTAAACTGGTGACGACAACTTCAGAAGTTCAAGGGTGTCATCTACAGGTCGCTTGTAAACTCTGCAAATAACCACACAAATGTGACACACACAGAAAAAACAATTCACTGATACTGAAAGGAAGAAGTCATTTAGAAAATAACTGTTAGAAAAATAATCATGAAGGCCCAAGTTCAAAGCCTCTGTAAAAATTTTTTAGATTTTACAATATATCATCACAGAACATTTCAATCATAAACTGAAATTATTTATAAAAGTAAACTGTGTTTCCTTAAATCCTGTAAAATGGCCACAGACTTGTATTATTGTCATCTGGCAAACAGTCTCTTCATGATTTCTTATTTTAGAATCTCACAGCTTCTTTCTTCACAACCTGCTGGTTGTCTTGTGTTACAGGGAAAACATGAGCCATTGAATTTAGAGATTCAAGACAGTCTGGTGTTATTTAGTAAGTTTGAGATAATTAAAGTATTTCTGCTCTTTTTAAAAGTTGCTTGTTCACTCATTGGTGCTCGAGAGTCCAGCTTTAGCTCCTCATCATCGTTAATGTTTTAAATGTTAACTGCACAGCTCTTATCTGATATTGTTGTGAATTTGTTGTGCTGGTCGGGACCTGAATCAAGAGAATCACAATTATGGAGCTGATCTGGATAACGGGGCAGATCCAGGTTTTTTTTTTTTTTTTTAAATCCTTGTCATTTATTGTAAGATAGATCTGTTCTATGAAATGGATCATAGGTGTAAAAACAATCTGACAGGTTTAGCGAGCTGATATCTATGAGTGTGTGAAATTGAGTGAATTTAAATATGGGGCCCTGTCAGTGGTATGATCTCCACTCTGCCTATTGAAGCTGGGACTGAACAGGACAAAGACAAAAGGCACAATCAGATCAAGTTAATACAGAAATGCACGTACTCGATGAATGCAGGAGCCGCCACTCAAGCACTCAAAGGCCGACAGAGGAGAGCTACTTCAAGATTATGACTTAATTAGCACATAGTCAAAGAGATGATGCAAATGAGTCCTGGAGAATTACAAGTTCCAAAGTTCTCTCCACTTTGAACTCAGAAGAAGCTGCTGGATCCAATAATCTGATGAAATAGTGATTCTGACTGTTATGTTCCCAGATACGTTAATTATTGGTCCAGTCTCCCCAGAACACACTGTATCCAGACAGAATATTTCTAGTACATGGCCTGCATTACCTCAGAGTTGGAACAAATTATGATCTCGTCCCTCTGAGAGCCAGGAATGCAAGAGAGGACCATCGCCTTCACACACCTGTCACCACATCGTTCTGGCACCTTGCTTGTTATCCAGAGTGCGACATGGGCAATTTCACCCGAGCCGTCGAGTTTGTGGCCTTTCAGCGCCTGTCAACGGTGCGCCCGGCATCGGATGCTCACAGGGCATCCGCTCAGCACTGGACGGGTAACATGACAGATTATTCTTCGTCATCTTTAATGAGACCTTGGGTTTTGCTCCCACCTCGCTGTTAAAGGTAACTCGAGTTTAGACCTTTACAGACACAATACCCAAGAAGTTTTTAACCATTTCGTCAAAATGCCACTACAGGTATTTGTTTCTGATTTTCCAGATTGTTATTATTTTTTTCCATGATGTTGATTTCTTCTTGATTACATTTCACTACCACTGCCCCACCGTCCTCTTGAGGGCACCCAATCACAGAAACAGTTGAAGTTCTGCTTTTGATGCTTTGTCGCCCCTCTCCGGTTATTGATGGCTTTCCCAGAACGCTCCTCAGCTGCTCCCAGAAAAACGGCTGCTGGTTGACCTGCTGGGGCCACTCCAGGTACGTCTTGGTGCTCAGCATCTTCTTCAGCCTGCAGTACTTGCTGGGCAAGGAGCTGGGATCAATGGGTTCCTTAACCACGAGGATGACATCACTGAAGGTCTTTCCCATGGCCCTCTGCTGGGCAAAGTACAGCTCGTAGTTGCACCAGTCACTGTTTACAAAGTGCCGGGAGAGGACGAATATTGACTGAGGATGGAAAGAGGAGAAAAGGAAAAGAAATTAAAGCATGGATTGAAACATCTTTCTGTGTAAACCAGTTAATGTTTGCTTTCCTTCAAACTTTATTTTGAATTCATTTGCCAAAAATATGGTTGTGCAGTTCTCTGTATACAAGAGAGTGTTGTGTGCAAGACAATTAAAAAACCACACATTTGTACCTTTCGACTGTTTTCAATGTTCTCAATGATGTTATCGATGATCCACCTTCCCGGCATGAAGTCCCTCTCATGAATGCACAGACGATAGGGGTTTCTATTGTTTTCCAAACAGGGCAACAGCTGGTCCCTCACCCAGTCTGCATCAGAGTGACTGTAGGAAATGAAGGCATGATACGTAAAAGTGCCCATTTTCCCTGCTGCCTTTTCCTTGTGAGCTCTGTATTTGGCTCGGATGATCTGATACGTGGCTTTTGTGTACCAGGGAAGATCGAAAATATAGCACATCAGAATCAACAGCAAGATCACCGCTGCAGTGGTCGCCACACAGATGATGATGACGAGTCTGATGTCACAGGCCACTTGACTTGGTAAGTATTTGGACACGACTGTGTTGAGGAAGGCCTCCGGGTGGTAGCACCTGTAGTTCCAAGGCCAGTCAGTGAGGTTGACCTTTCCTCGTGATATTGTATCCTGGATGAAAGCATGAAGCTCACAGGTGCAGTGGTAAGGATTATTTCCTGCCCTCAAGCTAGACAGCTGAGGCATGCCCTGGAAAGATGCCTTACTGATGAGGCCAAACGAATTCCCGTCCAATGCTAGGAACTGCAGTTGCGGACTTCTCCATGTAGATGGGATGAACTTGATTTTGTTCCCACTCAGCAGGAGCTCTTTCAGGTTGGTTGCTCTATCAAAGAACATCATGTCCAACTGGTCCAGGTCGCAGTGGCACAGGTCCAAGTAGTACACTGAGGTGGGCAGACATTCGAGGGCCTCAACGACGAACTTGTTGTGGTGAGCGATGAATCGAGTGATATTTCGCTGCCAAACGCAGTTACGACTGGGTTCAACAGATCCTAGTTTGTTGTTGCTCACGTCCAACACCTGCAGCCGCTGGAAGTCCCTTGTTAGTGCTGACAGTTTGCTTAAGCTCGTCAGTTCGTTGGTGCTCAAATTGAAGGTGTGAAGATTTGGCATGTTCCCCCTGTTGTCACAGCGCTGGTTGAAGATGTAATCACTCTGCAGTCGATTATTGGAGATGTCCAGTAACTCCACACCTTCCATCTCCACAAAGGCGTCGCAGGGCACAAAGTTGAAGTTCACATACTGAATAGATAGTTTCTTAATCTTGTTGAACCAGGTAAAGCGCCAGTCAAATCGCAGCACATCGGGATTGCTGATATACCTACAAGAAACAGATTGTTAGAATGTCTGCAAATTAAAATTCAAATACTCATTCTCCATAACCAAGGGTCACAGGGACAGGTAATCCCAATTTATATCTGGAGGGATGCACTGAAATTTACTCCTCTGGTTAATTTAGATGCTCAAACTAACCAATTAACCCAACCCCAATCAGTGGAGTACCCGCTGAAAAAAAAAGGTTCTTGTTCAATGTCAAGACACTCTGCTTATGATTGTGAATTCTTGGAGAATGGCTGCAGCATAAGTCATAAAACCTGCCTCCTCCAGGTTAGTGGATGGGACATGGATCAAAATAGAGGCTTAGTACATGTAATTTCTAAATCGTTCTAATCACAATGATGTATGTTGAAGTTTGGTTTTAATTCGTTTCTCAATGATACGGGGTGAGATGTGGTCAAGAACATAGGCAGGACCTCGATATTGTGGTTTCATCCCCTGATCACGCAGAAGTGACAAAGTTGACTTAAAACGATGGGAAAAGACTCACCAAAGATCCAATTCATCTAGCACCAGGTTTGTGATCGAAGAACTTGCTCCTGTGTCAATGAATGTGGGTGAACGGGCGAAATCGATGTACTGAAGCGTCAATCGTTTGATCGGGGTGACTTGTAAGTTTATTAAAGCCATCCTCAGGAGGTGCTCGTTGAATTTACCCCTGTGGAAGATTAGCTGATATGCTGTAATGTCTTTTAAACCCTTGAAGATGTCCTCCTCCTCCATGTAGTACATGAACTCGAAGAGATTGCGGAACTGGATGACGCTGAATGTCTTGTTGGCTATGTCATGCAACATGTGAACGAGAGCGTTCGGCTGCTGATCTATGGCCATATCGAAACCCATCTGCCTCGTCTGAATGACTTCTAGACTCCCAGGCTCATAGTAGCTGAGGTTGGAGGAACATTTGATTGCAAAACCTTGTAAACTGATGTTCTTCAGTGGCAAAAAATCTGCTTTCTTCAGACCCATCACCAGGGGGCCCCCCATCGACAGAACCTGGAGTTTGACAAATTTGGAGAAGCTCTCAGCCAGAGTGGCATGTTTATACAGATTATTGGACATGTACAGCTGATTCAGGTTGGAGAGGGGTGTCAGAGCGCTGGCAGGGATTTCCTCCAGCGAGTTATTGAAGATGTTAAGACTCTCCAGCAGTGGGTTGTTTTTAAAGGCATCAATGTCAATGTGTGAAATGTTATTGAACTGCAGCTGAAGGATGCGCAGCAGAGGGAGCCGGAGGAAGTCGTCAGCAAGGACAGCTTGAAGTTTATTGTAGGAGAGATCAACGTCTTCAAGTGTGGAGGGAAACTGTCCCCAGGGCACAGTGGCGAGCTGCCTCCCCACACAGTCTGCAGAGCGGCCGGAGTTGTAGATGCGACAGGGTCCGTCCTCAGTGGTCGGGGGTGAAGACGGAGTTGGGGACGCGAGGGCTCCGATGAGGAGAACGCTGGAATGTATTAACCTCCACATCATTGTGACAGACCTGTAATCAAACAAGCACAGGATAAATCAACTTTGAGCATCTTATTTAGTAAACAGCATTTATAACGTGGTGGAGGAAGATTTCAAAACATGAGTAAAAGTACAATTTGGTACTCTTTAAAAGTACTGTATCCTATTTCCTAATGCAGCAGTGTATTACATGAATCTCAACAGTGATGCACCATCATTTTCATTTGAATTATAATGAAGCACAAATACAACAGGAGCTGTTTTTGGTTTTGTCTTCCCTTGATTCTGTCCTGCTCTCGTCTTCTTTCCTGTCTTTTCCTTTTTCTATTCCACATTTTCATACATGTTTGTTGTTATTATTGCAGCTATTACACATTTAAATATAAGTATACATTAAGTATAATCTGTCTGTGACCCACCCAGTACATTAGCAAAAAATTCTGCAACACAGCCAAACACTTGAAACAATTACATTACAATTGTGTCTTTTCAGATGTGGACTGTTGAAGACACAAAATTAAATATTAAATACCAATAAAATAATCAGGCCACACACACATTATGTGACCCTTAGCTAATCTGCTGAGGAAAACATATCAGATCCATATAAAACAGAATTCATTGGTCCCCCATGATACGAAAACACTCACGAGACTGCACTCACCCAGTTTCCTGCTACACTGTAAACTCTGACTCTTTCAAATCCCTCTCCTCTCCTTTATTTAAATGGCCCAAGGCTCCACATTCACGTGAGGAGCCGTCAAACTTTACAACCACTCAACAAACAGTGTTCGTCTTATCTCGTCCAGACAAGACGTGATTTGAATAAACATTTACGTCTGTGCTGACATGGGTGATACAAATCCACAGTTCCTTATTTACTTGAAATTAAAGGATGTTCATGTTCATCTAACTTTAGAAGATGGTGACTGTTCTTCCAGTCAGGAGGTGTTTAGGAGGTGTGAGATGTGTTGTTGAAGGTGTCCTCCTCCTGGAACTGTTACAAAATTAGAGTATGAATGATAAAATCAAGTGAGTCAGTTCATTGGCTCTCTAGATAAGACAGTAAATCAAATATTGTTTAGGTGAATTATTGTCATCCTGTGTTGACTGCGTCGCCTCAGTCTTCCTTCCTCGCGACATAACGTGACGGAGAAACCATAAACACTCCCGGTCTATCTCGGCTGGTCAACAGTGAGCAGCTGCTCATTGACACTAGAGATTAGATGGACGTCGATAATATTGACTCAGTTAAACTCCTGCGGTAAAAAGACGCTGTTGCAAAAAGTTTTGTTAGAACTTGACAATAACAAGGTTTGGGAACTGACTCAGACTTTTCTAAAATGTCAGTCAATTGTCTTATGCACATAAAATAAGTGCAAATTTAGTTTCAAGTTTACTTGTAGGTTCCCTGCAGGTCAGACTGTGGCTCCAATAAACCAAATCTAATGACATCAGTTGAGGATACTTGTTTATTTACTTGCTTACAGAACCTTGATCAACACTGTGCAGACTGGTTGTAAATGACACAACGTATGCAAGATGGCGGTGCCCATACCAGGGATTCTCTGGCAGGATGTGGAGAGGTATTGTCCATCCTTATATTAAGTGAACGTTTTAAACCAAAGATTTGTTCTGCATTAAAAGGCAGGTACACACACACACACACACGCTCAGTGCTATGATTGCTCCACCTTTACATTTGCACATCATAATTTTAAGGGCTTAATGAGCAGTGCTTTATTTTATTCACCTGACAGTGTACGAAAAGGATCTGGTAAAAATTTTGATTTATTCTATTTATTTATTTGGCAGGAACTGTTTAAGTCTGCACACAAACTTGACTTGGTACCTCCCCCAGGTTGTGTTTTGTTGATCATATGCATGGTTTGAGAGTTGTGTGTTTTTAGTTGCCTCGGGAACACTGTAATTTCTCTTCTGGGATACAGAAAGTGATATCTCCTCAGGCTCTAATTGTACAAGATGGCAACGTTCGTATCGTGGATATTTCAGCGCTGGATAGTGGGAGGGAGTTGAAAGGCGTCGTTCATCTTTATATTTGATCTGTGCTCTGAGCTAAACAGAAAATTTGTGTCAAGGCAAACGGTGTTCCTGACTCACCACATCCATCCAGCTGGTTTGACATTATCCTTCAGAGTATCTGTGTCAGGAAAGACTTTCATGGTCAAACAGTGTTTACACAGGTTGGTCGTGTGCAGCCTTATAGGTGGAAGGAATGTGCACAAATATGCTGTCAGCTTCTCCCTATTGCATTTTTGGGTTCATTAGTTTGGCTTCAGACGTGCTGTGTTGCTTAGTGTCAACACACACTCAGGTAAACGGGTTTAACAGGTCGTACAATCTAAACAACCTACACATAAAACACACATGGCCTACTTCCCGGTCCATGGCGTTCAATGACGTTCCGGTTGGCTCACTGCCAGGTTCTTGTAGGAAACTGGAAAGACAAGCGGGAAATCCCGACAGCACACGTAAAAGAACAATATTCACTGTTTCTGCACCTGAGAGATAAACTCTCCTACCATGTTTCAGTGGCAGCAGCTAATACAAATCACTAGTGACACACAAACCTCAACTATAAGAAGCTGTGATGTTCAAGAACCAAAGATTGTTCATTGTTCTCTCAATTAACATCACTGGAAAGAAAGTTCCCGGAGTGTTTGATATTTGGACATGGAGCAAATATAAAGTAGCTCAGTCAGGGAGATGTTAGAAGAATCGAGTTTAGCCATATTTGACAGGAAGTGTCAAACCTTGCCTGACAAGCCAAACTCATTTCTCAGTAATGATGTGAAATCGAACACATCCATTTAGTGTTCTTCCACATCCTCCTCAGACAAATAACATCAGTGGATGAAAACTGGCGGCTTGTGGATAATGACTTCCCTGCAAGTAATATCTGCCCCCGCAGATTATTTTGATAATCTGATTGTTGTTATTTCACAATATTCAGACTGACAGACATTTATGGGAGTTGCAGAGTCATTTTCGCTTTTCTCAACAAGTCAATAGCACAACATTTGTTTCGCTATAATGCTCTACAAGGTGGAATTATGGTGCTTTTGTTTTGAAACAGACTCTGAAATAGTGGACATGTTATTCATATATAAATAACAGCGGTTCAGTAAATCATTCACACAGATATATAATTTATATATATACACATGTGAACAGTAATAAAGCAAATTTAGTTTTGACTATAAATTCGTCAGTGCAGATAAACCAGGTAGGATGAACAAAAAGTTGTTTAACTTTACTCTGCACACAAACAATAACAGTGGCAGTTTATTGTAGAAGGAATAATTCTGAAGTATCAACACAGGACAAGATAACATAAAAAACAGGTTTACGACGGACACTGACCTAAACTTAAATATTCACATGTCTGGATGATCCATCCGTAACTTCAGCCTCTAAGAGAGGCTGCGTCTCACTGCTACCGTTTGCTCTCCAGCAACTCGACACAACTCTGCATGTTGTAATCTTGGCTTCACAGTGAGATGCTGAAGTCAATCAGCAAACCAGGACGTCACGGAAACAACCGGCTCTGTCATTGATTAAACTCTGATATCTCTCTAATATGTCAGGAATGGCGTCATCCAGAAAACTGAGAGCTCAATAACTGTGTCTGATATTTACGCAGCAGTCAATGGTTGGAGGCAAACAGATGAATGTGGCAGCAGACGTGTTTAACTCATGATTAATGCACTATGCTTATATTTGATAACACGTTCATCAGTGTAAAATATAAATTGTGCTTTAAAGTAAAGACAGAGATGAGATGGACCAGTCAAAACAGAAAATTGCAATTTTATGAGGGAGCTGTAAAAGTATTTTATGTGTCTGCGTCCACTTGGTAACCAAGATTAAAAATTAGCCTCCTCTCAAACATTATCAACGATTTTTATCGTCATTCTGATTTGTCATAACATGAAGTGTCATAAAATGAATGATCACTTGTTGTTATCCGTCGTGTGTGACTTCTGAAGGTTTCATAGCCCAGTGGGATTCGTCATGATTTATTATGGCTTCAGGAATTGATGATTTTCTTCATTACAGACATTAGACACATGAAACAAGTGGAACTAATGACATCACCACCTTAAATCCTGTTTAGGTGTTTCAGTCTCAGGGCTCTTGTATCGCACATGCTGGCTCAGAGCCGTCGTGTAACGTTATTAGTTCCACCTCTGCTTTTCCAGCAGCAACGGAGAAGTCAAAATATCCCATGAGGTTTATTTTAGAGGGACACACAAATTTACTTCAAAGCAGTTTCAGGATATAAAATAAGAGGATAAATGGGTTATAATGCAATAACTCAAATAAGGTTTGAGGGGAAAATGGTTGAGGCACTGAGTCATTGCTAAAACCTAAAAATGCAAATATTTACCATTGTGGTCGACACTAATGCAGTTTTTCATCTCATCCACACGTAAACTGCTTTTAAAGTCACTAAAATGGAAATTTTAACAAATGCCAAAGTGTCAATTTTCAAAAACAATGTAAAACCACAAAACCACAATTTCTTTCACACATGTCCACTGTTACACTATTGTGTAGTGAACCAACAACAATAATACCTGTTCCTCTACATTTGTTCTTCACTGCTACCTCCAATTACAATGAGCAGCTACATTTAGCATGACTGAAGCACATTACCAGAACTCACGGGCGTTTACCTTGAATAACATTCTTCACTGGTATTTGTTGGAACATTGACAGACTTTATTGCCACATACTGGTCTGGCCTGAGTTTTGGTGCAGACGAGACCTTAGGAAGCGAACAATGCTCAGCACACTGTCCTGATCTGTGCTAAGTGTCAAAGCCAATTAATGAATAATCCATGAATGAGTTACACCTGGAGAAGTGCGGCCAAGTTGTTTTTCTGTGACTGACAGCTGAAAAGGTCGACCATGCAAGCGGCTGGATTACGACATACGTGTCCTGTGCTGGTGTTAGTATTTATGACGGGAGTACATGACGTAGATGGCATCAGAGTTGTTTCTGATGTGATGATTGTTTTCTTTCATCCAACACAAAACAATTATTATCAGTAGCCTGAGGACTGAGGTGTGGTGCTTCTGGTATGTTCTTATTGTCATAGCCAAGGGGAGGGACAACTACGTGTGAATACTATGTGAATACATGAAGGTGGACGACTTGCTTTGTCCAGAAAGAAATTTCTTCTATATAAATGTCAGATGAACCGAGCTCAAGAGAGTTTTTAATGTGAGTGAGCAGAATCACAATAATGAGATGAGTCCGGACATGTTCACAGAAGTTTCCTCATGACTTTCAACTGGAAACATTCCCTGAATGAAGTGTTGTTTTTTTAAAACAGCGGTGGAGTCACATCGAGGTGCTCGGGCTGGATATCAGATGTATGAATCACCTGTGACACCAGAGAGTGGAGTGTGCAGCCAGTCGCTTTGTGCTTTCGGTCAAATCTGAATAAACACGTCTGAAAGTCAAAAAGTTATTTATTAAACCAGATTAACCACTAACTTTCATTAACTTTGATTTAATCGATAAAAACTGCATTATTGTAACAGTCAGAAGTTAAAAATTTACTGTCACAAAAAAACAAGTAGTTAATGTGAAAGAACACCAATCAATACTTTCTAACTTGTCACAAGCTGCTGTGATAACGGGTTGAAAATGTAACTATAGTTTAAAGGTTGCTCTGACTGTCGCGTCCGTAAACACAAAAAAATCACATCAGATAATATTTCACAAGCATTTCTCAAATTCCCAGGAGACTTGCTGGACTTAAAGCCACTTGGTTTTCATTTAAGCAGTCACAGTCTATGAAGGCTCAGTGAGAACTGCATTGGAATTGCAGCCAGATCAGTTTATGTTGTAAAAAAGACCATTGAGCAACAGGCTTTAAGTTGTGAACAACCACCACCTGAGCCAATGACACTGCAAAGACAAAAGACACAAATCAGTTTCAAGTAGAATAAGTAATTAGTTGTTTTGGTTTGGCCTCACTGTCAGTCACTCGCTTCAAGGGAAGGTTGAAAAGCAGAGTTTTCTTTCTCAACTTAAATCCCAACATTATCAGGAGCCAGTAAAGAATGAGATGAGCAACACTGCAAAATCAAACTGTTTAAAACATTTGAGAGCGAAACAGCAACAGAGATTCAGTCTCCAAACAAAACTGTTGGCTCTCGATGAAGCTGGTTTGTTTTTAGGCCTGTGAATCATCCACATATCAATCAGGCAGCAGAGACACTAACAGCTGCATCACATCAGCTCAGCGAACATTGAGCTTCACAGGTGTCCAACAATTACACCGGCTCCTCACCTCAGGAGATAATATCTTAGAGGATAAGCCTTGTTAGTTTCTTCTTTTTATTATTACTATCATCATCATCATCAAACACTGAATCGATCCTTCTAACAAACTCTGCCTGGGAAGAAAAACCTCAAAGTGTTAGTGTTGTTTGAATTATCAGAAATTAGTTCACGACTGGGAAAACTCACATGACGGCCACCTCAAGTCAGAATAATAACTAATAAGGATTCAAGTTTTGGTGCGTGAGTTGCCAATATCCTCACTTAAAAAAACAATTACCATAATTTAACAATCAGCTCCAAATAGCAACTTTTAATGTGAACTTTTCATTGAACCTTTGTCACTTGCAAATTGCACATCCATCTTTAACATGCACCAACACCACATGATGTTTTTATGACATACATGTTCTAAATTATAGTTTTATATCTGTCACACCTGCTCTTTTTGTTACTGTGGAAAACAGTGGGCTGAGGTTTTGTTTAAATGCTCTTAAGACATTAACACAACACGTTTTATTTACTGCATTTATGGTTTTTGACATTCTGACTTCAAAGCACATGCACACACCAGTACTAAAGTCAGAACAACGACTTTAACAACTCGGACGCAGGGACAATCAGAGGAGCACAGCGACGCCCTGTTGTCTTTAGGTCAAACCAAAAGAACACAGCAAGGCAATGAGACAGAGACAAAGTGCTGCTGCAGTTTCATCTTTGTTTCCCTCTCGAACAGGTTTTAATAAAGTCACTCAGATTATTGGAGGCAGCACAAACAAAACAAGTCATAAATCCAGGTCCTGCCTCTGACTCTTCAGACTTTAGTGAACATGTGTTTAACTGTGAGAGTGAAACCCTGAAGGTGGATCTGCTGGTGACATGTGGGAACAAGAAGCTACAACTCTGAAACCTGAGGCTCTGTTGATTGACAACTGGATAAAATACTTCAAGTTAGAAACTGAGATAACGATCCCCTCACCCCCAAGGACATACAATACATGTAGTTCATGTACATATCACTGTTGGTGTATAGTTCTTTTGTTGCATGCTTCAGAAATATGTTTTATTTTCTGTTCTTTATTTTCATCCCATCATCATCATCATCTCCCCACCTGACGAGCTGAGATGTACAGAATCAATCTTTTAAAATCTGTCCCTGACACTGTTTCTTATCTGGGACCTGCCAGAGCTCAGCAAACAATTTGACTTGTCACAGTATGAAACCCTGATGCTCCTGATAATAAGTCCCAATCATTATTTACACCCGATTCATGAGATTACACAGTGAAAAGTGTCGCATCACTTGTTGTCTCAAAGAAACGTGCAGGTGAGAGAAGAGGAATAACAAACATAAACTCATTTAGTGCTCAATGTTTCTGTCCTGGACCTTCACCAGGCAGCCACTGAGACAAACCACATTCAAACACATATATATGGGCTGCACCTCCTTGAAAGCAGCCAATCAGAGAGGAAACTATCAGACTCTCAGACCCACAGGCTGTTTCCATTTAACTAATCAGACTCCACACTCAGTTGTTTTTGCTAGTTCAGGACATTGTGAGTCTTTTCCCCTCACTTCTGCTTTTTCTCGTCCGCTGTATTTTTGAATGTGTCCATTAAGAAACAGTGTGAAACAGAGAGATGAACTCACCGTGGCACCGCAGGTCAGACTCTGCTCCTCTTCCTCAGTTTGACTTCACTACACATTTTTACCTTGTGCTGCATTAGAGACGCTCTGTCTTTATATCCAGTCAATGTAAGTGACGCAACCCTGCATGATTTCGCCTGCGGCAACACTGTCTCTTCCTCCCTCCCCTATCTCCCTCTCTCACCCTCTCACTCTCTCACTCAGGAATGTTGAGTCAGGAGGATTTGATTTTCTATTGTCCTCTCAAGCTCCACGTTTCCTGTTAATCTGATGATGTTGTATTTTTTATTGTATTTTTTTGTGCCGTATACCTTTTATTGGTTTTATTGGTCCAGGATTTTGAGATATGTTTTTCTGCCACCAACACAGACGGGCAAATTTAAATTATCTCCCTTCTATTAGCTCCCTTCTAGCCATGCTCAAAAATATTTGAAAACAACAACAGCAAAAAATATTGTATAAAACATATAAAATAAGATAAACCAAAGTATTTAAATAAAATACACACCTAAAATAAAAACTATAAACTAAAATAAAATATATTACTGAGTAGAATGAATGAGAAGCAAAAGCCAAGGAAGCATCTCAAAGTAATGTGCTTTAAAGTGTGAATGTGGGAAAAACATGGACGCTGTAAACAAAATGTGTTGTATTTATGATTTTAAATAACATCCCTGTAACCACTTTAGAAGATTTGCATAACAATAAGAGCACAAAGTAAAATCATCAGGCAGATAAATAGTTTATAACTTGCTCAAAATGTCTGCATATATAAAGTATATAAAATTGTGACCAGCAGTTCTTTGTGCCAATTTTGCTCGGATTTTCCAAGTCAGGAAACAGATGTTTCCGTTTATTCCGACATGAACGCACACAAAGCTAGACTCCGATACATCTCAGGAGCTTTTACAAAACTTGTTTACAGTAAACTTTTTCAGGAACAATATTTTTGTTTGTATTTTAACGTTTTAAATCAACCAAAACCGCAACAACTGTTTTTTCAGCCTTTAGATTTGCTATCATTGATTTGGGAATAAATCATAAATAAACCCATGTGGACCAATCACGGCATCGGAGACCTGAGTGTCATGTGTGCGTTAAGAGATATGAGAAATGATGGCCTAACCTTACTGTCTATCTGCAAGCTTCACCTGTGCCTCCATGCATCTGTGAGCTTTGGTAGGAAATAGTTCTGAAGCCTCCAGCTGCCCAGGAGATGGATATCTGAAAACCTGGGAATGTAAATGCTAAACTGTGTCCGTGGGTAATAATTTACATTTTAATGCAATAAAAATGGTTTAATTTTTAGTTCTGTAATTACTGTTTAACTACCTTTTCTTTCAACTGTTGATAAATGTGATATCTGGAAAGAAATGCAATGGAAAGTTGAATTGATTTTCTGGGTGCTGATTAGAAGCTATTTCTGTGACTTGTTCCTTCCAACAGAGATGATTGACACTTGAACTGCTTGTGTTTTTGTGTGTGTGTGTGTGTTTTTGTGTGTGTGTTGTTGATGAAGTATTATTTTAATTTGACAGCTGCCTGTGCTAATGTGTTCCTCATTTCAGCCATAAAACACTAGTCGGTTTGAATGGAACCATTTGGAAACAATGAGGCTGCAGCTTAAATTAAAACATTTGCTGTGATGAAAGAACTTCTTTGTTCTTGGGTTCAGGAAGTGAAGGTGTGGTGTTGTTTGAGCAACAGATCAGGTTTTTTTCAGAGGGAGGAAATGTTTTTCTTTACAGGTGAACAAGGTAAATCTAGTGACAAAAAAAAAGGGTTCTGATGGTTTGTAAGGTTTGTCCCGGTGCTGGAGGAAAGGTTGATCCTCAGGGGTGAACGATTCTGATTATTCAATGAGTTCAAGGAGTTTTGACAAAGGAAATGTATTTATAAAACGATTGAAAACACATCTCTTAAAACCATGAAAATAAATTGTGAATCCAACAAATGACCTTATCATGGACATGTTGTTTAAGTTGACAGTCATTTGTCCTTTCCCACAAATGCTAGCCTTGGAGTTCCACAAGGTTCTGCACTGGGTCCGATACTTTTCACATAATATACACTTCCTCTGGGCAACATTATCAGAAAGCAGCACATTAATTCCCATTGTGACGCAGATGACACCCAGATATGGATCTATGAAGCCAGATGAAACTAATTGAACTGAAGTTATGTCTGAAAAACATATATGACTGGATGCCCCAAAGCTTTTTACCTTTTAATTCAGAAAAGACATTGGACTTATCCCTTCACACTCCAGAGAAACATTATCTAGCTTTCCTCACTTTGGATTGATTTTAATTTGGACCAGGACGACTGATAAAGCAAAGTCTTCTTCCACCTGTGCAATATTATGAAGATTTTATTTTGTCTCAAATGGACGCTTAGAAAAGAGGAACATGTCTAAAATAATGTATGATGTGATTTGATTTGGTTCTATACAAATTCAATTTAATGTTTTCTGCTTTAATGACATGATCAGTAAAATGTAGTTTTTTTCTGCTTGGCAATAAAATAACTTCTTAAAATGTTCCTTCCATGGAATCACTATGACAATGTTAATATTATCCTGATATTGATCAGGTGTAATCTCTGCATGTTCCATTAACATGACTTCATTTACTAATAAGCTCGAAACACAAAGTAGAGCTGAGGCTGATGGGAATGCACATTTCTTCAGGCTTTTAGCTACAAACCAAACTAATGGATGAAAACAAATTGACCTGATGATGGTGTAAATCTGTATCACACTCCTCACACTGATGCACCTTCACCCTATTTGACACTGATTGGGATTGTGTGTGCGTGTGCGTGTGCGTGTGTGTGTGTGTGTGTGTGTGTGTGTGTGTGTGTGTGTGTGTGTGTGGGTGGTAAGGGGAGCTGTGATTCAGATGCTGATTGACGGCAGCTGTGTCTGAGTGTGTCACCTATTTAAGCCACACACAGGAAACACCGCTGGCTTCTGTGTCTCAGTGTTTGGTGCTGCCTCCACAGTAACACCTCACACCCTCTAACGCTCTGTGATGCAGCTCCTGTTTGTGTTTGTACTTTCTCCCCCTCCTTTCTTAAAGTTGAGGAACTATAGCCAAGAGCTGAAATGTTTCCTTGTTCAAATTAGCATATAAATTATAAAACAAAAGATCAAACTTTTGCTGTGATGTGGTGTTTTGCCTCCGGTTTAGACGGGTTGGTCCAAACACTCATAAAACTTTCATTAATCGGAGGCTGCTGGTTTCCCTGTTCTTTTGGCTGCAGGCTTGTGTTACATCTTCTCTGATTACTGGAGCAGACAGTTCGGACACCGGTGTCACAGACGAGCTCAGTGGTGGAACTCTGGCTCGAGACTCACAATGATTGAAGCGACCTTAAAATTCAAACTGACGTTCAGGCTGAGTTAAGCAATAAAAAGCAGCCACTTGATTTATGGCTCATGTCAGTGGATTTTATTGAACAGGATTATTGAGTTGATTTGGGGGTTTGGCTTTTTTCCGCTCGGGGAGTCACAGTTCAGATCTTCTCCATTGTCTTCTCTTTTTTGGCCTCCACACCCACAGTTTAATTAAATGGCAATTTTCTGCTGAAATAAAACTTTTTCTTTGACTCACATGTGGCATCTTCCCTTTTCTGTTGCGGTCACTGGGTTTTAACGAAATGAAATTCTGAGATTGTGGCCATTTACGATAATTATTATTTTGTGTGTTCAAAAATTCTTGATTATCTGTAAAAACAATTCCTTAATTTACGAGGGACGCCAACCATTTTTCAACATTTCTAATTATTTAAGAAGTGTCATTGTTTATATAGATCTTATCGTCTTCATGACACTCATGACAATCACCCATTCATACTGTGCATCTATGAGAATCACCATTTTTGTTGGTTTCAGGTGCAATTGATAATATATAAAGTCAACATTTAACATAAAATATGAAAATGGGTCAAATTAAGGATTGTAATTCATATGAATTGATTTTTAAAGGTGTTTTTTTTATTTAAAAACCCTTACAAGTTTACAAAACATTACCAGATGTCATTTGTAACAAAAAGGTCTATTTAATGGAGTACTTAAAATAACCAATAACCATTTCAAATACATGAAAGTGTTGTAGAATCTATCTATAGAAATATGAACATTAAGGGATTTCAATTTCATTGTTTTCAAATAAAGACGAGACGTTCTTCCTTTATAGTTATATTTTATTAATTTTCACCGCACATGTTTTAAGGGAAACACATGTCAATATGGATTTGTTACATGAATATCTATTGCACTATAGATATTTGTTATTTAAAAATACATGTAATGAGATGGCATAAGACTGGCAATGGCACCAATATAAATCTCTCTTTTTTTCCTTTAACGATGATCATAATAATAGTTTGGCATGTTACTTTTTAAAATCAGATATATCAAGACACAGAGTTGAGGGCACACATCATGTACAGTACTTGACACTCAAAAACCCCAGAGCAAACAAAACAGCGACCCGCTCCACTTCGTCATTTAGCACAGATGGTTTCCTGAAGGAAAATAAAGAGCTCGCTTTGAAGGAGATAAGCCGTTATCGGAGTGGCTGACGATGTCGGATGTGAGCTAGCGATAACTGGATCTGGATAAAGCAGCTGTGTGGATATCCACATCAAAGCGAGGACTGCAACACAGTGGAGATGTGGTTTTCAAGTGTTGGTAAATGCTGAATATCTTAATCCCACGCATTCGCTGTAAAACTGGGGCTGTTAAAGCGAAGCCCTGTTGAGCTGAGGACGGGGATAGAGGCTAATTCCTCCTGCCTGGGGACCAGAGCTCCACGTGAGCAGAGGAACATTACAAAAGATAAAAACGTACAATTGCATGCAAGCTTACATGGATAGATAGGTTTATGGTTCTTGATGGACATTATTCTTTTTAAAAGCTGAAATATCGAAATTATACATTTTTTTCATAGTTGGGAAACCTGAATGGTTATGGTGCTTGGACGGCCCCGGCTCTTTGACCCAGTGTCCTGTCTCCCCTTCATTCACTGCCACTATAACGGCAAGAAAACAAAAACTCATCATTTACTTTAATCAACATAGTATATTCTGATTTATGTTTCTGTGATTGACTTAAGATTTGAACTCAGGATTTGATTGTAGAATTAGTTCAGTATTGGAGTATTTCCTCCACCACAATTACACTAAATGGTATTAGTACAAGACCTAATTCTTAAACAACACAATTTTGTTCAGGGAACTAAAACTACTTCTGTTGCGGATGGAGACTGATGACGTTCACAGTGAAAATAACGCAGCAAATTAGACGTGGTCGATGGTCGACAATCTCAAAGTCACATTTATGTTATCCACCGACCATCCACTGCTATGAGAGGTTTTTAATTCTTCTTCAGACTCTTGCTTTTTTACAGCACGCTCACACATACACAAACAGAGATACAAACTTTGACTTTTGCATATGTGTGACTGTGTGTGTATAAAAACAAAACAAGAAGATTGTGACGCCATGTTATTTGACCTAATGGGGAAGTAAAAGGCTTCTCTTCCTCTGATCACAGCTTTCGGAGTTAAATGACAACACATACGCAGCAGTTTCAGTATAAAGGAGGTTATAGAGGAAAATGTCTGGCAGCAAATCTGTGTCTGTCGAGTTAGTTTCCTGTCAAAGGTCTCTGGCACAACGGAGCCTGTGCTGAAGGTTTACCAGCACCTGGTGGCGGCGACACAGAGACACAAAGAAGATTAGTATGCATGTTGGACCTGCAGTCGGTTTGTGTTTGTGAGCTTTTGTTTGTGGGGGGGGGGCCGAGGGTTGAGGTGGCACAAAATATCGTGCAGGGGAGCTAATGAAGGATCTTTGTAAATAAACGTTAAGTGGCTCGACATAGCTTTTGTTTTGGCACGGTCCTAAGCACACATCGGTGCAGAAAGCGAGCAGGTCCCCGAGCAGCAACACGCAACTGAGCCTAGCGAGCAGCGCGACACTGGCTGGAGATTTTCACAGCTGAGAACACGCTCGCCGCTCTCACCCCTGACCATGTAAAATAAATTCTTTAATACGGCGCATGAGGAGCCACTAATTAGCTATTAATGACATTTCTGCCACTGTGGAAGGCTCAGCACGTCCAGGTTTATGTAACATTACAGACTGGTAATTCTCAAAGCTCTGGAGGAACATGCTAATCCGCTGCATAATTCATCAGCGCTCAGGCCTCCTCCTCCACTCAGCTGATCAGTATGCAGAGGGTTCGCTGTAGGTTTTGTCATTTCACCGCTGAATTGAAGTGCAGCTACATTCAGGACTCCTTTCTGTTTACATTCAGCTTGAATTTATCTGTAAAATGCTCAGCGTGCTCAGACGCGGGGGTTAGAAGAAGTTGCAGATGTGTTTTGATGTTTGACGTTTGAGCCTAAAGCCGAGTGTTCACGCCGCTGGTTGTGGTTGCTGCTGCACATCAGCGAAGTATTTTTACAGCATCGAGATTCAAGAATGAAAAAATAACAGTTTTCTCATCCACTGATGTCCCTGGGGAAAGAGGCGAAGCAGTCAATGGTTACATATCACATTCTAACTATGGCATAAAAACCCAAACCATCAACACAAATTGTCACGTACATAGGCAGCAATGGTAGAAAATCAGCATCTGCAGAGCAATAAAATACAGAACATACTTCACAGATCTAATCACAAGCCTTTTTTTTTTCTCTCAGTAATCTATGAAATGCAACGTGTATGATAATGTGAGTTGGCTTTAGCGCGGCACCTTGTTCACATCTTCATGCACAGTCAGGTTTACAGGAATTGGATGTCGTTTGCAGCAGATTGTTTCTCCTCACTCTGTTTCACAAAACCTGATCTTTCTTCTTTTTTTTTTTTTTTTTTTTTTTCTGTTTGACTTTTGACTCAACGATGAATCACCAAACGGGGCATAATAAAACTTTTCATGTGGGTTGACAGACATGAATTTGATTGTTTAATGGTTTCATGTTTTTAAAAATTGATTCAGAGGGCGTTCTGCTTCTCACTTGAAGACAATAAGTTTATTCCCAAAGAATATGAGGGTGATGCTTTGTTCACATCTGGTGTAAGAGCGTCAGTTCTGCTCTGATCTGGGGAGGAGGTGACACGATAGCGTATAAAAAGAAAAATGGACAAAGCTGTGAACAAGGCGCAACAACGACGTCTGATACCATCTGATAAAAAATATGCAAGAAACTGCCTCGCCTGAGGAGGAGTTGCTGAGACACAGTGATGTTCGAGAATGAGCTCTTGCCCATCCGCCTACTTCCTGTCAAAAAGCTGACACTTCCTCCCAGTGATGTTGTCGGACTCAGCTGCACTAATTATAGCGCCAAGTGCATCCGAGTCTGCAGTATTCTGCCTCGACTGCAAAATTGTGCTTAGGAGTTTATGTCCCAGAAGTGTTAAGGCTTTTTAAATCTCAATACCAGACATTTTACTAAGTACTAATTAGCTATTAAGTTTAACAAGATGAATGATGGGATGTAAGAGAGTGGTATTAAAGGTTTACATATTCACAAATAAGCACAATCAAGTCAATTTCAAAATAAGTAGAGAAATGATAAAAACAATTGGCCTGGTATTGGTTTGTTTTTCTTTTTTGCCCAACTCATAGGATATGTTTGTTTTTGAGTCAGAGAGGAAAGGTTTGCAAAGCACCTAATTTATGATTGAATCAAGTTCGTGGACAGTAACTCCTACTCACTCCAGATTGAATAACTGCTGCTTTATGCTAAAAATACATCACTGAATCCAGAACTCGCATTTTGCTGGACTCGTTCTAAAAATTGAAATTGGCACGGACAACCCAATCATGTAGTTCAATGCTCTGCGAACCTAACCTCCTAACAGTGGCTCCCTGTCTTTCCTGTCATTGGGAGCCAGTAAGGATGAGTAGTTAGCATTAGCATTAGCTGCAGTTAATGGAGCCACAGGGCGGCCATGGCCAGCAGGAGTGACGGCCCCAAGGTGGAGGCCAGGGAGGCGGCCAGGAGCCTGCCGTCGTTCACCAGCTTGACGGAGATCACCTCCACCTTGAATCCGTCCTCTGTGGCCATGCATCGAAAGACACCCTCCTTGAGGGGCGTGCTGAAGGTGGGCCCCAGGACGCAGAAGTCCCCGGAGAAGAGGCAGGGGTAGTTCTTAATGCAGTTGTCCTTCTCCCAGCGGTAGGTGGCGTGGAAGGAGCGCACAGGGCAGGGGAGAAAGACAGAAGTGTTGGACTGGACCACCACTTCTCTGGGTGAAGTCCGACGCTGCTTCAGAGCTGCAAGAGACGAGTTTGTTAGTTTATTGTCCTGGAAGAGGAAAACCAGTTTCACAACACTGTAAAGAGGTCTGGTTGGATTGGAGTCAGGTTCCAGATGATGCTGAGCGGACCCTGTTGCATTTCTATGCAGCAACAACAGAGTCATTGGTGGTGATGACCAAGTTACTGCTTTGCACTATTAATTTGTAGCATTGTATACATTAAATGCTTATGTCTCTGTGGACCCTCTAATAACCCAAACGTGATTTTATTTAATTGTATTTTCAGAACAACAGTTTTTTTAGATCTTTTCCAGGGCTGGATTAAAAAGCAGCTAACTACCTCAGGGACTTTGGATCACTGACCCCCAAGTATTCATTATGTTTAATGGGTTTATGGTTCTTTCATTAACTGAAAATTAGTGATTATTCAGCGTTGAAGCATATTACCAACTCCAATGATGAGGGGAAAAAAACTGGAATGAAAAGATGTCGACGCAGTTTAATTAACTTTAACAATCTCTTTCATACTCATCACAAGAATATTTCTTTGCAGCCTTGACATCACACATTGTCTCCTTGTGATTTAAAAACTTCAGTCACAAGTAAACAGCCATTCTTTTTGCCATCTTGTTATGACAAATAATTGTTTACTCGTGTTGACGTAACAAACTGAGAAGAAAATAATTGGTCTGTCAACTGCGAACGTGAAAACAAAACACAGCGAACAAGCCTCCTCTTGTTCCCGACTTCCCCAAAATGATGACACAGAAAAATAAAAATAAATCCCCTGTGGCCTGTTTAATCATTTTACCACGCTCGACTAACCATGGCAGGCAGGTGGAGCTTTGACTTTTAAAACATGATTCAGTTTCTAGGTTGACCAATCACGTTTGAGCCGGCTTTGTTTGCTCGCAGGTAAACACCTACAAAAACTATCGCTTCCTGTCATGTGATAAAGAAACAAATATATGATCGTGCTAACACACAGCGATGTAAGAGCTCCTTAGTTTACAGGGAGAATATGACGCACAGAGGGGGCTTCACTGTCAGTGGGAAATGATTAACTGCCTTTATCTGTGTTTCAATAACCTGCGTACACACTGATTCTGGTGCAGAGGAGGTAATTAGATCCAAGAGCTTTTGGTGCTGAGGCCCAATGCCGGTGTGGATATGCTGTAAACAACATTGAGATTTTGAGAGCAGAATTTACACGTCACGTTCCTCCCTCCTGCAGCTCTAACCCCCGCCTGAATGTCCCGGAGATTATCCTGTTGTGAATGACTCTCTCGATCTCCTGCTGCGTTTTCTTCACACGTGAAAGACGAACTCCAGAAAATTTCCAATTTTCCATATTTCAAGTCTGAAAACGTCTCAATAAGACCAATAAATCAATTTAATGCTACCTTCTGGGGAAAAAGACTGAAAGTTGTTGTGTCACCACCAACACAAATGCGTTGTTCACTGAAGCAGATAAAGGCGTCTCTTCAGAGGGGAGTAGTTGTCATGATTAGCTGAGGTTGTAACTGGGTTTTGAGCTTTGAAACAGGGCGAGCCGTGACATTACGAAAGAATTCTCTCCCTGCGGCTTGTTGAACCCTGCTCAATTATATGATAATCATCTTTTTTACTCTGGCTCCTCAGAAAGGTTCCTATTTTGGTTTTAATTAAGATACAGAGAGTGGGAGAGAGCAGATAAGGCCTCACCAGCAGCTTCCCCGCAAACCGACGAGTTGGAATCGTCCAGATTCTGAATGAGTGCCCTGTTGGAAAAGAATAGAGCGGATCAATTAGCAGCAGTGAATAGTTTTCACTAAACGACTTATGAGCCTCCGAGTCCACCTGCTGTTACTCGCAAATGAAAACATGCAGACACGAATCATTACGCAGAGAATCAGAGGCTTATTGCAGCACATTTTCATTTTCTTTCTTTAAATTGGAAATGCAAAGTTGTTGATGTCAGAGCAAATGAACTAACTGAGAAATAAACAGTCACACATTCATCTTTGGTGATTGTGTTGATCGCGACGCTTTTCTTGCAACAGCAGTTCCTTTGGCGTTAAAGCAAGTTTCATCACCTCAGGGCCGGTGATTTTCAGTCAGGGCATAAAGCTTTGTTTCTGTAATTGCAGAACTGATGCTACTGATACTGACTTTTAGAAATTACTATGCCCTCTACTCTCTCGTCAGCCCACGGAGAGGGAGAAAAAAGAAACAGCCAATAGCTCTGCAGTGGTGACATCATATCTAATCATACCCAGTCGTGACGTTGTATCCAGGCGGGATGGCGATGCACTTCCTCCTGGCCTTGTCCCAGCCGCAATACGGATCCCGAGAAAGGATGCACTCCCTGCATGTGTCGCCATAGCGACGGCAGTCAGCCAGCGGCAGTCGCTGGACCTCCATCGCTGTACCGACATACAGATGTCCCTGAGGAGGAAGAGATGCAACATATAGGATGTGCGGGTTGGGCTCAGTATTACTGGAATAAATCAACCTGTGCTGTGTTATTATTGATCACTTTAATGAAGGTTTCCTCACAGAGCTGTGGACTGTTCAGCAGCAGTTTTTAAAAACCCTTAGTTAGAGCTATGACGGAAAGGAATTTAGTATCTTATAAAGAAGAGTGTCAGTAATGGAAACTGAGGTTTTCAATAACCTTGTTCATTCATGAGCACCAGGTCGAGAAAACCTGAGCCATTTATCTTTGAAAATGAAAACTTGGCAATTTTTGGGATATATATATATATATATATATATATATATATATATTACGGAGAAAGTGGAATTCAATATCTTTCTCTAGTTTTCAGATCTTTACCACTCAACGTATAAGTCTGTCAAATGACATTAAGTGCTGCATTTGATTTTCAAAGCACTGAATTGGGGTCAAAATATATTTTATGATCTGCTGCTACGTTGAACCATCCAGACTCCTCAGGTCCTCTGGGACGAGTCTGATCTCCGTCCCCACAGTCGGACTGACACCTGGAGAAGCAGCGTTCAGGAGAACTGCAGCTCTGCCTCTTTTAAACCTGTGTGAAGGACATTCCTCTTTGCCGCAGTCTTTTTATTGAATCGGACAATTATTCATTTCTTACACTTAATCTTGCATTGCGGTGTTTAATGAAATTAAACCACAGCTTCACATCAAACCAAGGATGAAATTTGTTTTAAGAATAAAACTGACTGTGCTAAACGAACCCTCACTTCCTCCCTGACTGTGATGCAGTCTGGCCTCTACAGCAAACTACAGTCAGATGAATCTTCTGTACACACCCGCAGCCTTTCTCAGCCTTGTTTAAACCCTAATCTAATATTTAGCATGAAAGCCAGGATGTAACTGAAATCCCCCTCCACCACATTATTCCTCTTACCTTCTGGGCGTCGATGGCCATGTTTAAAACAGGGCCCTCGTTGTGGAACAGGGAGTACTGAGATATGATGAAGACCCCCTCGCTGGAGTGGAGAACTTTCAGAACTTTGCCTTGTTCTGTGGAAACAAAGGAGGAGACGCTGTAAGGGATGAATCCCAGGTCTAAACTGGAAGTGCACACACTCATAAAACCACTTCCTCTGAGTCATAAAGGTCAACATTTGTACGTTCTAGTGTTTTGATGAATTCATAATTTCTGACTTGGACAGTTTCCACTCTCGAGGCCCGGAGGAAGAACAGAAAACTGGAGCTGTGGAGATTTTTTTTGAACATGCATCTGTGAAGGTAGAGCTGCTCTGCAAAGACAAAATACTACAAGTGGCCTTTGTTTAACCTCAGTGGAAGGAGCCAAAACCACAGAACTGATGAATCCAACACAGGGAGCTGGGGGTGGGGGGGGGGTGAGGATGGTGAGACCTGCAGGACTTCATGTTCAGCTGTGGAAATCAACAACCTTCAGGGATTCTGGGTCAATTCTGGTTCAATTTCAGAACTTCAGAGCTGAATCTTTGCTCTGAACTAATGAAGAATTCAGCGTCTTGGAACTTTTACTTTGTCCTCCAGCTGAGATCATTTCCATAGCAACAGCAGATGAGTGCTGTTTGACATAACGGAAAAAGCGATTTTCAATAAACTAGGTCAAATATTTTAAGTGCAGTATTAAATCTTACTAACTAAGCGAAGAAGACAACTGCTCTGGGGCCGGAAAACATCCGGGGCCTCAGAGGTTCCTGGTCTAATGCTTGTCAGCTGGTTTGCACTAAAAGTATCTGGGGAATATGCACCACTGCTTTATTTGTGTTTAATAGATTTACCAACCGGCAGAGCTGCCATGTCGTCCACCTTTTGGTTTTGTGCAATAATCAACTTGATGGCTGTCTCCATGTTTTCACTTGCTCGTGCCTGAATTCCTCTTTTGTTTTTAAGTAGGTGAAACGTTTTTCTACCTTCGCTTGTCGCTCTCCATCCAGTGATCTGACTCCTGAGTACTCTCTCTCCAAACAATGACCTGAGAGATTGAATGGCTCCCCGAAGAAAGACGTTCTAACTTGTTTGGTTTCTTGTCACATCCAAGACGGTTTAACTTCCCCTCGCTGTGAGAATGTGATGACAGTGATATCTTTTAATCTGGCACCTTCACTTCCTGCTCCCTCCACGAGGATCTTTCTCATTTGTAATTAGGTTGGAAGGCTCTTGCTGTCAAGTAGACTTCTATTGTCCTGAAAAAGCCTCGTCTCTTTTTTTCCCCATAAACTTCAAATGTTTTTCTCTCTGCAGTCAAAGATAACGTTCCCCATTTATCCAGTTTATTCTCATGTGATTGTTTGATCCTGTCTACAGCTATTTTCAGCTCTTAAATCACGAGTTCATCAGCACAAAGATAGAGAGAGGTGACGACGCAGAACTCACGTAGCGTCTCCTGAGTAAATCTGTTAATAGTTTATTTATCCTCCGTGTTCATAATCTTTCAAAATAAACACGTTTGCTTTTTACCTTCTTATGCACATTGGCTAAACGCTTTTTACACAGAAGGTCAACAACCTTTAACCTTGTGCAAAAGATTTAAATTCACAAATCTTGTTTTTCATTTTTCTCCACGGGGCAACGTCAACATTAACGAAGAGCGAAAGCATTTCACGTTCCTGGGTCTTTTTTCTCAGCTGGGCACCATCTCGCTCTGCCTCTCTAACCTTTAAGCTTCTGTCACCTCGAATGTCTCAGTGTCTGAAAAAGGATATAACTTCTGATCTTTAACATAAAGTCGGCTTTGAACGAGCGCTCTGACATTTCTTCCGTCCCTGAAGGGGGGCTTTCTGCTGCTTTGCCTTCATGACTGAAAAGGTCCGAGCAGCTCCACGCCGTCCGATGGTCAATGTGTCAGTGAATAAACGCATTTTTCACTGCTGCTCCATCTTTTGTTCCATTTACAACACTCCGAAGGTTCACAGCCCTTCATACCTCCTTGCTGCTTTTTGAGTAAATCTTTAGGGCCCTGACTCAACATGATCACACTCAGACGTCTCGGCGCTTCTGAATCCAATATATTTTAAAATGTGCCCGGCACTGTCTGTTCAACTTGACACTTCTTGGCCAACCAAGTAAAAAAAAAGCACCGGAGGACTGAGGAGCAGTTTGGCCAAAGCTTTTCATTTCTTCTTCCAAAAACCAAATACTACAGACTGAGTCATCAAACATCATATTCTTTCATTGTATTACGAACACGACACAAATGTTTGATTGAGGAAAGGATTTATTTGTGTTTTCTTGACGTTATCTTATATTACTTTATGAAGCTTTGCTCACACATTCATGGTTCTCAAAAAATGAAGCCAAATAATTATTGTGATCTATAACTTTTCATCTTGTGCAACCAGCAGATCAAAATTTGTATTAATCAAGTGAAATATCTCAAAATGTACAGGATGGTTTGGCACAACGTTTGCTTCACATATATTCATGATCACTGTAGCTTGACTTTAAAATAGAGTCAGCAAAGTTTTTTGACGACATCAGCTCAAAACTACAGTTTGTCCAATACTTTGATATCTAATCCTGCAACTGCAAACTAACATGATCCCCATTATCTGAAGATATGACTTTAACCTTGTGTGACTAAGCTAATATTTAAATTCTAACAATATATAAACATTTCAATATGTTTTACGAGGGGAAACATGGTCTCTGTGTGAGAATCCGATGTAAAATCTCTGCACAACTATGTGTGTTATGAGTTATAGAGCAGTTTTCTCACGGCTCACAGTGAATACCGTTGTCTGCCTTGTTTTCAACATGACACATATTGAAGAGGATGGATATTATATGCATGTATTCTGCAGTGTTATTGTCTGGCTGGTGATCAAGAGACAGAGAAATTAATTTTGTCAAGTCCTGCAGCGTTCTGTCTCACAGTGGAAGTTCAACCAAAACTAGTTTGACAGGTTAGAAACTGTTCTGTTTACACAGCTTAAAGGAGCATTCTGAGCTGCTGGGTCTCAGGGTTCCCCACCTGCTAAATCCCACTTTATCCCCCCCTGGTACATGGCAAAGCTATTAAGCTAATTAGGACTTCACCCTGTCAGTTTGTTCTAGGTCAACACCGTGAAGTTGAGTTCATCCAGCCTCCAAATACAGTTCATCATTTAGTCAGACGACTGTGACTGAAATAAACAAGATCTGTGTCTGTGAGCGAGGAGAATTAGATGAGTTGAAATGATGAGTAATGTTCTCTACCTTCACCACAGCCGCCATCGAGGTGCGTATCACCCAATAGTCTCGTCACTCTGCTCGAGATAAGTGTTTAGCAGACAAAGTGTAATTTGTAATTGGAAAAACAACAAACATTTCCTACCAACACAAAAGGAGATCTGATGGGGGAAGTAGATATTTAGCTTTAACAGATTTTTCTGCCGATTGTTGCTGACGAGCGTGAAGTAGTTTGTGTGACGTTGCACAATGTTGTGTCTCAAATATAGAAAACCAGCAGGACAAAGACACCGGCGTTAATTTAAAGTGCACTTAATAGATTAGGCATGAATGCAAGCTGTTACTAATCCTCAACAGAGGGAGCTCATCCTCTTCATATATTTATTTATTATTCGAGCGCTCAGAATGATACTGACCCTCCAGGGCAACCGATAAAATATTAGCCGTTGCTGTTTCTGCGCAAAGATTTACAGTGTGGTCTCTGAGCTGAAAGATATTTATTGGCATACCCATCGCTCGGGAGAGACTAATGTCCCAGGACTACCCAAAATGCATCTGCTTCGATTTCACCGGCTCTGTCGAGAGGAGCGAGGGCAGAGCGTCACAACACAAACCTGAGAAGTTTATTTCTACATTTAAAGATCATTCAGTATACTTACTTTAAAGTATAATTAAGTGTAAAATAAACATAAAAATTAACAGGGGGGATTTTTGTTGTTGTTCGTCATTATCTTGAGACAACGACATCATTCCCGGTGCAGAGGAAATGCACGAGTAACGTCGGAAAGCCTATTCTTAATTTCCCGATGAGCTCACTGTATAGTTTTCTGAGCAGTGGTCACGTTAGAGTGAGTGAGTGGGTGATTTTGGACTCAGCCACCATCTCTGGTCAGGAGCTGGATCTGCTCCTGCTCCTCTGATTGGTTTAGACTGTTCTAATGCAACTATCCATCCAGATGAGCTGTCTTATCTGTGAGCTTCACTCACTGAAGATTGGATTATTTTGAGAAGGCGGCGTCTCTCCATCATTTGCAGAGATACGTGAGCATCTTTGAAATTAATTACACAGATTGATGAGCTTGAGTTGTTAAAAGCTCGTGAATATTTATAGTCGGTGTCCTCGAGTGAAGGTGATGAGGCTGGAAAAGAGACGTGAGTTGCTCAGTATGTTTCTCTTCATAAATCAGGAGCCGAAATATTGAGGACTAATGGCCGACACATGTTTTTTTTTTTAATGCTGCACCATGTTTAAATAAAATAAAACGGGGGAACAGCCACATCTCCAGTGCAACCTGTTCCTCCGGCCTGAAGACAACTTCAACTCAAACTGCTCCAGTTTCTTTTTAGACCACTAGAGACCTGTGGCCGTTCACCGCTCTTCATCCTCTCCCTCTATTAATGACACAGTTAGCAAAGCCCACAGCGAGAGGCCATCGCTTTCAACACCACATTGTTTTTTCTCCTGCGCTAAAAACAGACACAACCCAGAAAAGGCCTGATGAGTGACAGGCACATATCCACAGCCCTGGTGAAGAGTTGTGCTCGGAGAGATGACCCCCGCTCGTCTGTCGGTGGACCTCAGGGTGGAGAGACACTCATACGAGCATATGACTTGCGATGGTTGCCATAGTAATCTCCCTGAGGCACAGGGCAATTTTTGGAGTAACTGCTGTGTGCACCAGCAGCTCCTCAGTATTGCTGCTTTGATCAAATCCAAACAGTTCTGTGAAAGTCAGGCATCATTTAAATGGGTTTTGAGCAAAACTCATTTTGACCGTGTGTCCGTTTTTCCTAATTTTCAACTTTTCAGTGCTTAAATTAAGAGTTTATTGTTTGTTCCAGCCGTTTGACTTGTTCTGAATTTTATTAGTTTTGCTAATTTAAATGATTTAGTGAAGTCTTGTTGCAATTACGGCCACGATATATTTTGGTGATTAAAATTTAATTGCTTGGACCTCGGAACAACTTTGCTGCAGGGGAGTTGGAAGGTTAGAGTGACGGCTGCTATGGTTCTGTCCATGTTCTTGCAAAGTCTCGTGTTGAGCACAGGAAACAGGTTGACATCCCAACAGCTGTTGGGTGAACACAAACGTGTACAGGCACTCACCTGTTCCCAGGTACAGGACGCTGTAGTGCTCGTCGTTGACCGCCAGGACGATGTCCGCCACAGTGTATGTGATCTGGTCATCGGTGGGCAGGTCCAGTGGAGCCACGCCGACGGGCCGGATGACGTCCTCGATTTCTGGGTGATATCTGATGATCCCCAGGTTCTTGATGTCATTGTGACCTGCTGTCGCGTTTTTGCGGACACACTGAGAAGAGAAGTGAGACTTAAATAAAAACGCCCTCGGACAAAGCTCAAAATTGCTTATTTTTTCAAACTTCTTTAAAAATAGCACTCGCTTCTGAAACAAACGCTGAGTCATGCAATGTCATGTTGGTTTTTGCTGTGATAAATAAAAACTGAAAGTCTTTCAGGATTTTTCTCACCATTCCAGGGCGACTGCCAATGAATGAACTGCTGTAGCCCTTCAGTTTGCTTGTGTAGAAGGCCTGGTCAATATCTTCAATGGAGTAGGCACAGATCACTTTTCTGCCCCTGAACAATGACAACAGTGATTAAATCCACAATGAAAGCAGGGGAAGTGAATGAGAGGGACACGAGGGTAACGGTTACAAATTACAGGTCGACTCTGGGCCCTAAAACCAGACAGATTTACAAATCCCCTCATTCTAGTTTCCCTGCTTTTTTGTTATGTGTTCAAACAGAACAACTCAGTTTAGTCTCCCACTGAGCGTTTTGGCTGCATGTTTTATTCTTGAGTTTGAATCTGATTAAACCTGACAGAGGCTCCAGCTCACCATGCATTGGAGAACAGGCCGTACAAGACCCCGGCCCTCTTGTCCTGGGCCGTCAGCACCACAGCCTGCTTCAAGTTGTTGTACTGCTGCTGAGTGTTGCCTGCGCCGCACATCATCCGAGCCTTCATGAAGGTGGTCCACGAGTCAGCCAGCAGAGCTTTAATGCCTCCTTCGTCCACCTGGAGAAAACACACAACAACTTCACAACGTGCAGTGTAGCCAGGTCGCTCATTTTGAGCTTTAGTTTGTGGCCACAGAAATGAAACAACACTGGATACCAGGACTCCCCCTCCATTCCTTAGAGCAGTAATTATTAATAAAACTATTATTATTTAAAAAAGTACCTCTGTCGAGTACATTAACTCCAGCAATTCTGAACCACACACACCACAAAAACCTGAACTGGTCATCTTAGCTTAGCATAAAGCATGAACTAGACATAAAAACTACTGGCTCCGCCCAACGGCAGTGACTTGAGTCTGATTAACAACTTCTAAAGCTTCTAAAATGTGACGCATCAAAGCAGAGAGATGTGTTAAAAACTTGAAAATGCACCGACGGGTTTTCATCAAACTTGGTTTGAATCGCAGCAGACATGGGCGGCAGTTGTTGTATATGTTTCATCTTCCGGCAGAATATTGGGGATTTGTTCAAACTTTGAAGCATCCGATCTTTTGGTTCTTCTCATTAGCAATTCACTAAAGAGCAGCTGATTTATCTTTTGAGGCATCGCGCTCGAACAAAACCTCCAGGCCTCTGAAAATGACTCCGATGAAACTGTCTCAGCAAGTTGCCTTTGATGCACAGCTCAAGAGGAGTCAGGAGAGTTTGCAGGAGTAGAAGCAACATTTAAACTACCAACTTTAATTCAAGACTTGGATTCAACCACATTTCGACAATCGGATTAAAGTGGGATTTCTACCGTGCAGATTCGACCGATGCGAGCTCGGTACGGTTCCTCGTCCACTCTGGCTGTCTTGTTGAGCTCACTGAAGAAGAAGTAGATCTCCTCCTTGTCCTTCAGCACAGACGGAATGATGGCGGCACCAGCAAACTGAGGATCTGTACGATGAGATACAAACAGATCCTGTGAGATACTGTCCGTGTTTTCATTTTATCTTCTACTATAATCTCATTCAATGATCGCAGTCCATGTACGTATCATTCATCATAAGTACTGTGAATATTAAACTGAATATAAATAGGATATTGTGAGATCACATCAATAAAAAAAGAAAATGGCTGATCAAATTTCTGATTTACATTTTACAAGCTGTAAATAATATGACTCAAACCATGACGGTGAATGCACCGCTCCCTATGATGGTGATTTACTCTAAGTGTAAATCGAGTATCACCCACCATCTCCATATTCATTAGTCTAAACCTGCTCTCTGCATGACTCCCGTCCTCCTACTCACTCAGCAGCCAAATGTTCTCCGTCTTCAGGAGCTTCTGGGAGCCAAACGTTCGCCGGATTGAGCCGGCGTGACCTCCCACCGACGACATCGCGGAATACAGACTCCCATCTGAGAGGAGAATAGAAGAGGAGGGTGAACAGTGGGCAGGAAAAGAGAAAGGCAAACAGTGAGCGTGATGGATTGGAACAAGGTTCAGAGGGAGAGGCATAGAGATTGGGGTGACACAGAGCAGGGCTGACTGAAGATGGAGGAGAGGAGGACATTAAACAGAAAGAGGGAGAGTGATTCTGCCTTTGGCCCAGGAGGGAGCAGAAAGAATAAAAAAGCAGCCGAGGAAAAGGAGGGCAAGAGCAAAGAAGACATCAAGGCTGAATAGCTGACTGCATCAATGAGTAGCCACCAATCACCACAATCTTACAACACTATTAGAGCTCTTTCTCCGCAGCGATGCAGAGAGGAACCGTTTGAATTCGTGGCATTACAATCTTAATTAGCGCTGATTGTTATTAGAATACTCCTCTATTCGACTGAGCGGGCGGCTCCTTGCCTTGGGAATCTATCCCCGTCTTGCAAAAGCATCCTGCAGCTCAAGCTAACCTCTCGCCTTTCTATTTCCGAGCGTCTCTACTAACAATCCACCTGCATTAGGTGCTTCAACAAACACCGTCCGTCCCTCATCGTGCACCGTGACGACTGAAAGGTTAGTTTAATTTGAAACATGTTTGTTTGGTTGATGAGACCCTGAACCTGCTCCATAATCACACAATTAGGAGTTCCATCCCGCACGGAGAGGTCTCACATCAAAACCCAAACATATGGAGCTCGTGTTGATGTGGCAAAACATACACATCAAGTTTGCTTGATATTGTAAAAGATATTCTACTGAGAGAAAACCTATAGAAATCTTAAAAGAGCAGGAAACAACCGGACTCTTATGGCATCTCAGTGATATGTGGATGTTGAAATGTGGCCAGATATTGACTTGTCTGAGACATATAGTAAAGTTACATAACGTTGCTTTATAGGACTTTGTTTTTCTGTGGCCTCGTAAAAAAAAAACTAAAAAACATTTCACAGACCTTCCACCCTCGCTTTTCCCTTTTGGATTCAAAACTCTGTAACCTTCTCCCTGAATTATTTTTGTTTGTGCCAACAGTTGCATCATGGGTATTTTAGCAACGTTTCCCTGCTTTTTTTCACGTGAAAGACAGATGGCTGACTTTTGTGCATTTGGCAGCGGGGTTGGTGTGAATCTCTGGTGCACATGTATGATCAGCAAAAGCTGGAGGATAAAGTCATTAACTTGTCTGTTGGATCTGTTTCTGATGGTTCCTCTGTTTCTGATGGGGGGGTCGGAGATGACGTTGGTGGTGACTTACATTAAAGAGGCTCCATGTTAAGTTTTTCTACAATCACTCAAATACAAAAAGAGACATAAGAGACGAGGTTTGAGGTCTTGTTGAAGGTAGAGCACATACTGTACATGATTAATTAAAATCTGCTGAAACATCTATCATGTGGAGGACTGGCTCTTTAGTGTTGTGAAGTACTTTAGATAACACCACTGACTCATTTGCAAGTTATGAATAGAGAGTGATCAGAACAGATGGCTCCTGGGAACTCGAGGCTCACGAGTGTCGCTCGGCTGCTCCTGACACAAATGAGCAAAGGTAATATTCTGAGTTGAAGGTGGGTTTGTTCCGACATGAAATCCTGTCTGGGCTGCACCATGTTGTTTTGCAGAACGTTGATGTTAACAAGGTTAAAAGCTTTTCAACACAGACGGCCTCGATGATATCAAAGTTCTTTTCCTTCACTGACATTAAATCATGAAGAATGTGGTGATTCTAATCGTACATCTATTTCCTCTCAGAAAATTACAGCTATGCACTTTTGCTGGCGTATTATTCACCTGCAGGCAGGCTGATGGACCTCTGGGACGGGTAGGGCGGTGAGATGTCAGCGGCGGACGCTATCTGCCCGTTGCCCTGGACATCAGTCAACACAGAGTCATTTACCTGCAGAGGGGAGAGACGTTAAGAATCCGGTTTATTACAAGCGTCTTTATGCATAACACATATTACAAGGTGTTTTTTTCATTTCGACTCGTCACCAGGGGCACGACTTCATTACTGTGTGAACAATAACTTCAAATAACCGTGAGAAGAAAGTTAGCAAATAAATAAATAAACACAAAGAGCAATTAAACTTGAGATTGTTCAGGCTTGAGGTGAAGCAGCCACAGCAGCACACGAGAAAAGTGGATTGTTTGCAGTCCAACACGAGGCAGCGTTTCAAGGAGCTGATCTTAAGAATCTCTTACCAGCATCCAGCACCTCGGGCTCCCGGCATTCGTTCCACATGCGATGAATGTGTCATTTACTTTCTGAATGACTGTGATGAAATTATCACACTCCAGCTGCGAGAGAAAAGAGAACACGAGTGAGACAAAACCAGAGGGACAAAGGCAGAAAATGAAGGAGAAACAGGAGGGGTGGGTTGCAGAAAACTCCACACAGATTGGGAGAGGGATTAAAGATGCAGAGAGACAGAGAGGCAAAAGAGGAGGGAAAAAATGGAGGGTGTGTGGAGGAGCGATTAGAGAGGACGAGACTGCACAAAGGGAGAGACGAGACAAAGCCAAGACCCAGGGATTGAGAAAACCAAGGTGGAATAGAGGGATAAAGAAACAGAACGAGATACAACACACACAAAAAAACACTGAGTGAAAAGCAGGATTGTTCAGAGAGGAGAGAGATTTGAGAAAATGCAGTGAAAAGTATTGGCAGACAGCACAGACGAGGCTCAGCACTGTAATACTTAATATACATTCGTTATTCATTGAGCCCAGACTGCTTTCCCCCGGACATTACTGAGTGGAGCATGAAAATGAATACTAAGTACAACCTTAAGGGTAAATCCTGGGTGCAGGTAGGAGCAGTGCTCATGTTGAAAGTGCACCTTTAACACAAACCTACAAAGTGCTTTAAAGAAAGCAATCAAATCATGAATCTTGATGGAAGCGAAAACTGAATACATCACTAAAGCCAAAAAGCAGCACCAGAGCTTGTGTAAGTGTGTGGGTGGATATGTAGGAGGGAAGGTGGGCAGGATAGTCCTATTTATTCTGTTTGCATGTTCTTTCTTCGTATACTTGTTGTTTTGAGCAAAACTTTTAGTTTGGACATCTTTGCAAAACCTGTCGACGCTGCATGAAGAGCTTAATGAGTAGAATTAGGGTTAAGTTGGGTTTTTAGGCGAACATTTTCTATCGAGAAGCTCTCGGGGCTTCTGAAGAACAGTGCTGAATAAATTACCAACCCAGAATCAATAAGAATTACATCCACAGCCGTGTCTCAATTTAGGGGTTACATCGTTTAGAGGCTGCATTTGTCGAATGAGTCCGTCCCATTTCAGAGGCAACTTCAAATGTGTCCTTTCATTTCCAAGCGTCGAATAATCCGATGGGTGGATCCTTCTTGCACCAACGTGTCCTACCATGGTGCGCCTGCTCAGTGTAGTGCTCTGAGGGAAGGGAAGCGCTCACATCTGTACACCTTCCAATTCCTTCTTCCTCTTCCAGTGGTAACACTGAGGATGGGCATGTAGAACATCTGAGTTTCACCGGACTTTGTTCCACTTTGCAGTTCTGTATTTATTTTCACCATTTTAATCACCAAACCTCACCCTGACCACCGTAGCTGCACAGCACATGTTAGCAAAAGCGAGGTTTTTAAATGTGTTAGCATCGAGGTCACATTCCTTTGCAGAATCCTCAGGTGATATATATATATATACATATTTATATTTACATCTCCTGAGATGTTATGTAACTGTTCACATCGGCTGTGTGGTGCCCTGCTCCGTAGGAATGTAACTGCTTTGTAAAATCAGTGTCTCGTCAAATTTCTCCGTCGCTGATCTCAAACTAAAACCATGATGGTGATTTAGGATGAGGAATTGTAGTTTTAAAGTAAGATTTATCTTTTGCATTTGCCGTTGGTGTAATCGAGTTGGTGCAAAGCTTTGCCTGCTCTGAACCAGCTCGAGCTGAGGTGAACAGACAGTTACCCAACACTGAGGCCTTGGGGATAGTTGGAAATACAGTCAGTCTGTCGGATCAGGTGGTCTCTGCTTCCTACTGTTAACCTCCTGTCTCCAGCTCACAGAGTGTATCTGTCTGTCTATCACTGAAGGGCGCTGCCTCATGTCCTTCATTCTCCTTCCAAGTGGAATTTGCTTTACTGGGGAAGATTTACTGCTTCGTTCTCATTTTGCACCATCTGCTGCTGCCAGACTCTCTGGAATCTTCAGCGTCGTTTGTGCAGGGAAGAAACTGTCGTCTTTACTGTTTCATAACCACAGTAACACACATGCACACAACTCTGATGGCTTTCAGCTTAGACATGGTTGACCACACTGAGGTGGTGGGCCAAATCAGATAACGGGATTCTCACTGACATAAGCAGTCTTTTCTCTTCTTCTTTTTAAAGCTGTCATATCCCACTTCTCTTAAAAGAAGTCTACACACAAGCCGGTTCTATGGAAGGCAAATTTCAGATTCAAGGAAATAATGAATCCTTGCAACTGTTCAAAAGATGAGGGTCATGCAGAAGCAGGCTATCAAGCAATAACGAGGCATCTACTGAATTAAAACGAGTCGTAGAGTGACATTGAAAACACTTCAGAATATAGGCCCTTAAAACTTTACACCCTAATGAAGACTCCAGTCCCGAAATTGCATTTGGACCTTGATATTCACTGCTTGGTGAATTACTGCATGACTGATGTCTGCAGGGAACACCAGCGCTGATTCAAATCATCAGTCAGTTGACTCAATATTTAACAAAGAAGAGCGCCCACTATGCAGAAACTTCTGTGATATGTAAATCATTCCACTCCATCAAATCAAAGAGGAAAATGTCTTCTAGCATTAAAATGACTTTGGGGGCCCCTGGAAAAAAAGTACCTGGAGTGGATTCGAAACAAAATGATGTAGATTTTAAGAGGGTTCTCACAGAATTGTTGTTGCTGTTGACTCATGGAATCATTCAGTGGAATCTCAGGGGCCCATTCTTTGCTCCAGGGCCCCAGATAATTGCCTGCTTTCCCTATAGAGGCACATCGCCCCCTGGCACATGCAGCTGCAGACCTAAACCCAGGATGAGTTCAAGAGAGCAACTTCTTTTTTTTAATATCTTGTGTCAGCCAAAATGTTGTTGCCCCATTCCGATCAGTTTTTAGCATAGTTAGCATGAATTAGCTCAGAGCCCTGACTTGACTTTATTATAAACAACTAAACCTGATTTCATGAAGACAATTCATGTGTATCTACTTGGATTCCAAAAACTTAAATATTACTTAATCCTCATATCAACAGGCTGTCAGCTTGTATTTAAAGTTGTAAAGTGGAAAATTGAAAGTTATTTATCCTTCTTCTTTTTTGCTATCAAGCAAATGCAAAATTTGACCCTGAGTATAATGTAAAATTAGTCTGAGTGATGCAGTTAATTCCTTGTCATTACACAACTGCATCAAAGTTGATGAGGAAATTATTCATCGGTGTAAATTATAATAATGATTTTGGGGATTTAAAGTGAAGCCTTTAAATTCCAAGACGTCAGATTATCCTACAAAGGCCCAAACGTTTTCTTTCATTTGAATTTCTTTATTTTGTTTAAATTAGTATTAAGCTGCTCTTGTTAAGATTATTCATCAACCTCTGACAATTGAAACACTCAGTTGTTAAATCCTCTCTGAGGAACCTCGTGGAATTATTCATTGAAATTATCAACAGCTCACTCGTCTGGATAATGTACGGTTTGTTTGTTTCAAGATAAAGCTGTCCCCTGTGGAATTCTATCTCATCTGCATTCATTAGCATTTTGTATGTTTTTATTTGTTACCTCCGCCAACGAGGTTGTGTCACCAGGACTACGTAAAAACTGCAGAACAGATTTCCACTAAATTTAGTGGAGGTATGGGACACAGAGAAAGAACAAGGTGTGGGACTGGCTCTCCATCAGAGCTTCACCATCATTCTCCTCCGTCCCTCCACTGGGTCATGGGGGAATCCAGAACCGAGCTCAACCTCCTAATCCATCTTCAGGAGCGCCCCCTGCAGTCCAAAACACGTCAGTCTCCTCAGCACATGCTGTCAGCTCTAACTCCTCTTATAAAGTGAATGATCAGTTCATTGTTCAGGTGAACAATCCAGGAACTTAAGATAAGTCACTATCTCAATGTCCAGAGAAGGTTCAGGAATCAGGATCAGGACGGGAAGATGGTATTGAACCATCTGTATCTGAACATCAGACATGTTTAGAGGACTGACATCTATGATTCTGTGGAATTTGGTGCAGCTTCATTCAATTTACTGCAGATGATGGTGATAATGTGGGACACGATGATGATGATGATGATGATGATGAGGAGGAGGTTAATGCTTTGCACCACTGATGGAGGTGCTGACAGTGAAGATATGCTTCTACCTCGAGTGGCGCAGCCTTTGCCTTGCAGGTGTCGATCGCAGTCTGATCAGATGCCGCTGGGATCTGTGGGAGGAAGAACGGTTTAGTTCGTGCCAAGCTCTCTCACACAGTTCAGCATGAAAACAGTGACCCTGCTGAAACACAGAAAACCATCCGTCCTCTCAGCCAACACCATTCTGTGATTCCTGCATTCACTCAGTTTGTCATTAAATATTTCTATGTATGTATGTTACACTGGACGTCCATGTAAAATATGGGTCAAGCTCCCAACTGCTCTGATCGTTCAGTGTTTTTTTTCCACGGACGTCAATTCATCACAAATGTCTCTACACTCAACTAAGCTCAGTTAAGCATCTTGAGCAGTGAGTATTAAATTCAGCCCAGCATCTGTTTAACCAACCAGAATAACAATTTACAAGCAACGCTAACATTTGTGTTTCCTCACAGCAGAAGTTTTCCACTTCAGTTGGCACTGACACGTACACCTTGTGATTGAAAGACTAAATCCACTGTTATCACATCATCTTATACATCCATCATATTCTGACTGTGATCAAGGTTTGAAAGGATACAGATGGATGTATGATGCTGCCACTTCTAATAAACGATGTTCCGCTGCTTCCAGATCCTCCACACTGTTCGGTCAGAGGCTCAGCTGCATAACAGCTAAAAGAGACCTGCACGCTTAAATGTGTTTTTCCGAGCTGTAAACTAAATTTCTTTTTTTAAGAAATACATTAATGATGGTTTAAATATCACATTTATTTAAAAAAATACATTTATGTGTTGAACAAGGCTCATATCAACACCAGGACAAAAGCTTACACTAATGTCTGCTGCAGTCGCCACTCCTAGCGAGACAACATAGACCCGTTCCAACGAGAGACACTCCCGACAAAACTTAAGATACAATTGTTGAATGTCAAAAGCGAAGCTCTTTCTCTGATGTTGACGCTGATGCGTTGAAAATTGTTGATTTTCTTCTTTAAACAATCCCGCACTTGAAATACCAACCTGACAAGATATCCCAAACACACCATTAAACATTAAAATAGTCTCAATGATGCCAAACACATCACCCATCACTATTTTCCCACCTGTCGTAAGAGAAATCCAAACCTGCAATCTTTTCAAATAATGAGCCATACAGGTGTAATTTGAGTGAGACGGCAGGTTCACTGTGTCTTTAAGTTGTTCGGTGAGTCAGTGCTGACACTGTGGACCACACGCTGTGTAACCCTGAGCCTGTGTTGACATCATTAGCTCAGTGAATGATGTTTTCCCTCCTCACAGAGAGAAAAGGCTGCAGCTTCATTAATGTATGCATGACCCGGCCTCCTCACTGGATCTCAGCTGTAACAAGGGTCAGCAGCCGGGCGGTCGTGTCATCATCTCACCGCGTCCTCTGATTCACGGCTTCGCCCTCACAACGGGGGTGGGGTGGGCTATGTTTGTTGTCATCCCACCCAGCAGCAGAGAGAGGCTTCATTTTTTAGTTTATTTTTTAATGGAGTGAGTTATCTCAGATTTGAGCACGCGGCAAATCACATCTCATTTTGGACCCGCACAGGTTTTCCATTTATAGTTTTCTCATAATCAGACAAGGACAACATCCTTCCATTCATTTTGTTCCATCTATCTGAAGTTGGGTCGTGGTGGCGTCTAGACATCCCCCACTTACGACTGATTGGATACAGAGATACATTTAGAGCTGGGGTGTTCCAGATGTAAGAGGAATCAAATCAGATGCCTGAACCACCTCAACTGGATTCTTTCAATGCGAAGAAGCAGCGTTTCTACCCCCAAACTCTCTCTGTATGTCCTCACTGTAGCATCCAGGTGTGAGCCACTTCAGGGAATGATGCAGCACTTCCTGCTGCCTGAACAAAATGGATGTGAAGTTGCCCACTTTAGCAAATGTGGCCCAAATAACCCAAAACAACATTTTTTGGCAAACATGCAGTGCTCTGGACAAGGTGTAATCTGGATGTGACCCTAAAGTATTAAAATGTGGTAAATAGTGAAAGTCAGGCCACTTTATTTGACATGTGGAATTGTTGTGGCTTACTTGTTCCACAGATCTGGCAAATAGGAGCGGGCCGCCCAAAGTAAATCATGTTGCATATAAACCATTTGAAAGAAATAAGAGTAATATTGGCAGAAATGCATGATCTCAGAGGAAGATGGTTTATACTAACCACAAATAAACAAATCTCATCACCCACTTTAGCTGTATTTTAAAGAATTTGTTTTGGGAAAATATTCTCTGCCAATATTATGATTATAAACCTGGAATAAATGGTCGAGGATCTGCAAACCCACACAGGGAGTTTGAGTTACTCCGCCTGGCTGCCAGGGTTTTGCTGTGAATCACATTGCATATACGCAAAGGAGCGTGTTAACCCACCTCAACAGCTGCTGCAGGACAGTGAGGGAGATCTCTATCAAAAACCTCCCATGGAGGTTTGACAGAAGTGAAACCAGAAGAGTTGGTGACCCTGTGATGTGCATTTAATTCTGGTTAGAGACTTGTCTCTTCAACCTTCTGCTCTCTGCTGCCTATTTTACAAAGCAGCATAATGCTTCAGCCTTTCCAGACATTGATTAGCTGCCGAAGTGGTTTTTGAAGTGGGCCGACTTGAAAACTTGGCAGCGTTTAGTTTGTGGTTGGTGGCTTCTCTTGACAGCAGCAGAGCGGTTTCCAATTTTTAAAAAAGGAGCGTCTGCAGCTGAGGGATTCAGTCCCCTGGAACATCCCACTGAAGCTGAAAGTCATCCACTCCTGTTAAAAGTAAAGCGTACCTGCAGGTCGCGGACCCCTCTGTCACTGAACGTCAGCACGTAGATCATCGCCTGGCCGCCCACGTACAGCGTGTCACTTCCCTCCGGATGGTACATGCTGATGTAGTTCTCAGGTTTGTTGAAGTGGAACCTGGAAGGCTCTGTGGGTTAGAATTAAATGTATTAGAGGAATAATCAAAAAACTTTGCTTGAGTTCACTCTTTATCAATCTGTCTGTAAATAATTAAGAAGGAGAAGTAAGAAGAATATATCCAGCAATTTTCAAATCACAGTCAAAAAGCAGTTTATAAATAATCAATAGTCTAAAAAGACTAAAAAGATTCATAAGTTGGAGACACAACAACCAAAGATCAATGCATGAAGGTAAAAGTCATTTGAAAAAGATGACGCATCTTCAAAGTCCCGAAGCCTCCGATGGGACAGAGTCTCCTTTTACATTTACTCTGCCGTCGATACAGGAGCTTAAGCTGGAGGAGTCCATTCACCAAAGCTCCTGCTCTGACGCTACTGACCTTTGTTGTTTTAGAATAAACCTACACAACAACTGCGCCTGCATTTAGGATCTGGCTTGAGTGGTCGAAAGAAAGGGCATCTGGTGAGAACATAAATATCACTGAATGTCACTTAGATCATGTGACGTGCAAATCCCATCACAGACGCTGTGGACGCCTCCAGACGACTCACATGTACATTTGAGCATCTCTGAATCAGCCGTCCAGTCAGAGTCACACTTACCTACACTGCAACTGTGCCAGTATTTAAAATAGAATCAAATGTCAGAACATGAACTTCAAGAGTTGGAAAAAAAAATCTTCCAAAAACTAAATTCATGTAAGTTTCAAGCTTTTTAATGGGGCCGTTATCTTTTTCTTACATTGGGTCACTATTTCCTCCAGTGCCATTTCAGAAAAGTATTTTTTATAGTAAAATAAAATAGTACGAACAATAATGATGAACTTTCTTCATTTGGCACTTTTTAAAGTATCTCTTACTTTGCTCTGCTTCTCTTTACTAGAATAAAATGCGTCACAGATTTGAGGCTACAACTGAAGGATTTTGTAGTTTTTCATGTTGACATAAAATCTTTCATTTACTCTGACCTTCTAACTTAAATACTGACGCTTACAACAATGATCAGCAGAAACTGTAAAAGCAGAAAGTTTTTACTTTTATATAGAAACCAAGATTATTATGCAGAGATATAGAAAAGGCCAGATTTCTTTTTATTCAAAAGGCCACGTAAGAGATAAATGCATAAAAATGACAAACACAAAAATGTAATAGTAAAAATAAATAAATGAATGATTTAATCAAACCAACCTATTTGTGTTTCTGGCAACAGATGATAATAATGTTTAAAATCATTTTCTGAAAACTAATGATGCTGTTCTCACTTGATGTTTCATAAACAAATAATGACCAGACGTGATTACATGCTCACGATTACGTTTGTAATGATTTTCTCCTCATACCTGATATAAAAAAGACATCCAGTCTGACGGCGAGCCGGGATGAAGTGATGATCACTGATACAGGTTGCTACCCAACCAGCTAAGTTTCTATGGAAACAGGGGCCTCTGTTATTGGCTTGAATCTAATTGATGAAACTAATACTTCACAAGGATCAGGGGATGCACAAGGAAAAGCAGCAAAAGGCTGATGTCTGAGGTAAAACCTAATATACAGTATCTTCACTTTGCTGCGTGACCATGTAAAGAGGAATCATCTGCAGCTGCAGAGCCCACTGAGAGATTGATATGAATATTTGCTTTGGCAGATCTTCACAGCCTGAGAAAGCTTCTGTTGATTCAGCGACGGAGAAAAGGTTCATCTTCTGGTAGACACGCGAACACGGAGCTCAAAGAAAGTCAGGAACAAAAGCTGCAGAGAAAACGTTGCCTCTTCAGCACCGGTGGCGTAAAATCCACACGAGTTGGGAGAACTTGACTGATGTGACAAGTCAAATACCTACATGTCGCATTAAAATACATTTTGGCTCATTGGATTACAAACTGATAAAATACAGATGTAAACGCAACCAGGAACCAATATACAGTATGTTCCTGAGCACCTTCACATCACACTCTGTCCTGCGATGATGAAATCCATATATTTGATAAAGTTTTGCAGCTCAGCTTCTTCTTCAACACACCGGTACATCTCACGCTCCATCTTCCTTTCACTTGTGAACAAGACCCAGAGAAACTTCTTTACTTGGGGCAGAAACTCCATCCCTGAATGAGCAATCGTCTGTTTTCCAGCAGAGAAACTCAGACTCAGGATTGGACTGGAGGTCACGGCCTCATGAAGCCAAAAGAACCACATCATCTCGAGTCAATCAACCTCCTCGCTGCGTCTTGAAATCCTTCCCATGAAAATCACCAACAGTGCCGGTGAACTGCCGGTGAACTGACTCTCCCTTTGACTGAGCCTGTGTTTCCTTTACAATAAGACATTTAATCATTGCTGCTGGGTGAAAGCCTTGAATTTTCAAAAGGTCAGCTTTTCAGCAACCAAGAGCAAAACAGCTTTGTTTTTCAGCTTGTTTTCACAAAAGAAGAAAACGAGACTTCATTAAACTCATGAGTCGGAGAGGTCCTTCACCCCCAGAGGAGCGTGGAATCCTTGAAACACTTTCACTGTGAAAAAACTGAGTCCTAATTGCAGAAAATGTGCTCATTAACGAAAAAAGTACAGCACCGATGTTATTTGTGGGAACAGTTTTCATTTGTATGTGAGTAAAGGATTCTGGACAGTGAAGAACCAGCTTCAGGAAACAAACTGTCTTTTATTTGGCAGCAGCAAGTCGTGTGTCCGCTGCTGTTTTATTTACATGAAATCATTCATCACTCACAGTTGTTGTTTTTGAGGGACCCTGAGGTTCTCCACTGTGGATATGACAAAAAAACTTTATCAGACTCATGTAACAGTTTTTTTTATTGATGCGTTCGGGCCTCAGACCAACGACTGCTGCACACGAGAGGATAACTGGGTCGATTTGGAGTCCGATCAATTGTTCCCAACGATCACGGAAGTGTTGCCCATTGATTATCTGGCCAAAGGTTCCAGTAGTGTGACGGGTTCACAGACGTAATCTTAATGTCACCGGCTGAAGTGAAAACAAAGTATGTTTGATATTCACGATTCAAAATCAGGATTTGTGTTCTATGAAAGAAACAGAGACTGGGGAAGTGAGCAGAAACCCATCAACTGGATGGAGTTGTGTCAACAGTGTGAGTCCTGTTGTTTGTGCAACCAGCTGACGTCCACCTCAACATTTGTTTAGTCTCGTACGATCACAGGCGGTTTTGTAAATTGCAAAGAAGAAAAACTGGTTACACTGGTCGACATGTCTGCGGTTCTAGATTTGAATTTCCTGCGGTGAGCAGCAGGCGTAAGAGAGAGGAAACATAAACGAAACTTTAGGAAAATGTTCTAATGTTTTGGATGCAGCTGCAGATTTCCAACTTGCCCGGAGGTGTACTGTTATTTCCTTGACTCTCATTCTCACTATCTCGTTTGTTGTTGTTGTTTCCATGTCTCTCATATTTCTCTCTTTCTGTCTCTGATGGTTTTTCTCTGATAGTCTCACTTTGCCTTTCTCTGCCTTTTGATGTCACTGCAAATGTGAAGGACACCAACGGCAGACTTTCATTTCCTATCACCAAATCCTAATCTTAATGCAGTCCCTTGAAGGAATGAAAAGTAAAGAACTCACAACTTCCTTTTCTTTACTCATGTTTACTCAATACCATCGAATGTCACTCAACAGACCTCATAGTATCTCCGCCATCATTCTCCTTAAAGTCAATCAAACTGCATCTTGAGTTCTGGAGCCTCGTTCACATGCGAACACACAAGCCCTCGCCTCTATGCACTCGCCCAAGGGGCACGAGATGACATCAGCGACACTCAGCAGTAACTGCAGCGATGCTACCGGAACTAGCGATGCTGCCGGAACTAGCGATGCTGCCGGAACTAGCGATGCTACCGCTCACCCAGCGTTCGGGCTCCAGGCAGGAGGTTCACAGAAGTCATTTAGCCTTAAAACAGTGTAAGTGACCTCGTTTCGAGTGGAATTTGAATGTTGGGGTTTACAGACACTTGGATCAAACCACAGGAGAATTTTAAGGGTTTTTTCTGTAGATTTTTTGTGTGTTTGTAAAACTGGTCACCATTTACTTCAGTTGGAATGGATTTGGCTGCAACGCTGTTTACTTAACCAAGTGAGCAGCGGGGCGCTGTCTGTGGTTCTGAAACCGCCTCAGCTCCTATAAGGTGTGTGTGTGTGTGTGTGTGTGTGTGTGTGTGTGTGTGTGTGTGTGTGTGTACTCACTAAGGTGAGGGCAGGTTTTAAGGTTAGGTTAAGATTGTATGTATGTTAAGTTAAGGGATAGTGTGTGTGTGTGTGTGTGTGTGTGTGTGTGTGTGTGTGTGTGTCCTATAACAGGCATGTGCAGCCATAACCGTGGAATTGTGTATCAGCCTCTTAGATTGATATGACACGCACGTACTTGCCGTCATCTTGTTCGTACTGTGTTCATCTGCGGGGAGGGGGAGGGATACAGAAACGGAGTTGACACACACACACACACACACACACACACACACACACACACACACACACACACACACACACACTATTGATTGCTGAATACATTAGAGGACTGTGTGAGGTGTAAAAACGCGTGAGTGGAATAGATAACTAGGAGCCTTGGAATTTTCCATTCATGCCCCCCCCCCCCTTCACCCTCTCCCTGTATATACGTGTATTTGTGTATTTATGACGGTTGTTGCCCTGAAGCGACCCCCTCTCTTCCCCGGGAGCAGGGACTCGTCTGCTGCAGTGCAAAGCAGCTGCCGCGTCCCGCATTGCAGCTCCGCAAAGGACGCGGGAGCCTCGGTGGATGTGTCCGCCTCCACAGAGTCATATATCTGGGTGATGACGCTCCTCGGTGGCTGATCGTAGGCCACCGCCTCGCTCTGTGCTCGCGGTGAACGTGACGCCATGTTCCTCTTGCAGCCAGAGGACGAGCTGCTTTTCAAAAAAAGAGCGTCTGTGCTGTTACTGCGCTCGGTGCGCATGGAGCTGAGGGATATGGAGGGACGTGCGCCAATTAGAGCCCCAGTGTCCTGATCAAGACTTGGGGCGCACGAGCCTTCAGTCAAGTTGTCAGAAAAACACAGAAAAGCCACGAGTTGCACAAATCACATCCACATTGACCCCAAGTGTTCCCCAATGAATGAAGAGTGTTCAGGTCATATCCTGATGTTGGCTCAGACATGATGCAGCAGGAGGAGTTTTCCTCCAGATGCTCATCCTGTTAGATGCTGTGAACATGTGTGGGGGCCTGAGTGGTCGGTGCGCGTAATTTACTACTCGGTGAGTGGGGGAGGGTGGGCGGTGTTTTTTAAGAAATGAATCCAGAAGTGGTTCCTTCACCGAGGTTTTTATCTGTGCGTGTTTGAGCAGTGGAAGAAAAAACCCAAAACCAGCATCGGTTCATAATCAGAAGAATCAAAAAAAAGAAATGGCTGCATCACCTCATGACTAAACTGTCACTCTGCTCATCCATCCATCCGTTCATCCATCCATCCTCCAACACACACAGAGGAATCAAACATGCTTGAGAACAAACATCTGGCTGACTGACCCGTGTGGGAATCATGACATGATATCAGTGGGGGGGAAACAGCAGCTTCCTACCGTGCACAGTAAATTTCAGCCGAGGGGACTTTCCGGCGATAACCGCGGCGAAGAGAGACAGCAGGACGAGAGACTTCATCTTCCTCCAGGCTCTGTCGCGTTGTGGAAATTATATCAACCGAAGGAAGCAGCTCACAACCCGTCCCCAAAAAATATCCTCCCTTCTCTTCCCGTGCAGCCGCCTGTGCGCTCCCTTCCGATCCGCTGCGTCCCAGATCTGTGCCACCGACCGACCGACCGACAAACCGAATGCTGCGTCCCGGTCCTGTCTTGTCCGTGTGCTCCGCCGGCTGCTGAGTCTGGAGGAGTCGGGGGTGTCAGGCTCCACCTCGGAAACAAATGGCAAAGGGGAGGGGGGGGGGGGGGGGGGAGTGAAGTCTTCAGCAGGGGCGCACATATGAGGAGTGGGATTGCACCATCACATCTGGACCTGTTGCTAATAGAGACGTTTTGGTTTTCACACATTGCTTTGTATCTGCACCTTTGAAACCATGATACTCATCCGATCCTCATCTTGTTTTCATTCTGAGCATCACACATTTAATCTGTCGCATCCTCCCCTGTTTGGAAATGGGCTTAATCAGTTCTATACAACAACCACATCAGCTGCATAACATTTACTCATGTTCCATCAAATTGTGAGATGGTGCCGGAGCCTGAAGGAACATCTCATGTCATGTTTACGCACACAAACCCTCACATCAGCAGCTAACGATGACATGTCCCCAGCAGCTGTCTCTACAGTCATGTCTACGTTCTGATCAATATGTGTCAATAAGGCCTGAGTGCCTGAACACAAATGAATCAGCACTTCTCCTCTGCTGCGTTTGCATTTGTCTCAAGTTAAATGACTCAAATTTGAAAAATTGAGCCACTCTCAATGGTTACTGCATCTTTGTGTGTGTGTGTTTGTGTGTGTGTGTGTGTGTGTGTGTGTCCATTCCAAGCATCATGAAACACATCCACTTGGGGGGTAAATCCCCCCCCTTTTTAAAAAAAACTCCTCCTCATCCATCTCCTCCACCTTGTTAGAAATTCATCCCCAGTCTGCGGACCAGGGGTGACGGGGCCTCCTCTGTCAGGGCTCCCCGGAACAACAAGGAGATCTGTCTGATCAACGTCTCCTCTTTTAAATCTCTCTTAAAAACTCACGTGCTTCTTCCCTAACTCCGGTGTTAACAACTATTCTAATAATTTTACAATGTTTTATCTTGGTTTTCATCTTTTCTTATCAGCAACACTCTTATTTCTGAATTAGTGCTTTATTGCTTTGTCATCCATAAATTACTTGTTTCCTATGTTTTGCCCTTTTTTCATTTTTCATTTAAATGTGCTATATACATGTTTTATTAATATCTGTATAGCAGGTTTCAAGATTCTATTTTAATCAGTATCTATAGATTTCGTGTTACCTGGTTCAGTTTGACGCAGGCGCTTATCATCAATGTTACATAAATTGTATGTGGTTAGTTTGAACGCAGAGGGTCAACCAGTTAACTTGACTCTCTGTTTTCTTAACATCAGTGTTCATGGTGATGAAGCGTCTTTGTGATTCAAGTGTCTCACGTACAACATGAGGTCATTCCACTGTGATGTCATGTTTTTCACGTTTCTCTGGGAAGTGCAGCACTTGGGTGGAGCATCTCCACCACTGGATGGCAGCAGCAGCATCAGTTTTCAGAGTGTGGCTCCTCCATGATTTCTCCTCCCTGATGGTGACAGCAGGGTTCCTCCATCACCTTCAGCAGCTCCGTGCACTGATTAGCGGCCTCTGGCGTGCTCCTGCCCTTTAAAGCCACAGATTAAGGAGAAATGTGAATGAATTAACTTTAATTTGTATCCAGATCAGAATAAATCATCTTCATTTAGTTTAGTTTTTTTTTTAAAGCAGGAGCTGACATGAAAATAAGTCTGGGAAGCAGTTATCAAGGAGGATTCATGAATATTCAAAACAGCGTTATCAGGAAACAGGATGCATTCATTAATAATTTCTGACCATAAAATGTCAGAATCCCATAATTAAAGAAATAAATAAACACAGAACAAAACAGATGGAAGGCAAAATAAAAAGATCATCATCTAAATTTAAAACTTGAATGTCAGTAGAGCTCATCTCTCCGCCAAGGCCCTGAAATTAAAGTCCCCTCAAGTTCAATCAAGCTGATTGACATCATTCCTCTAGATCTGATGTTTGAACATCTGGACTCATGAATGATTCCCTGGGGAAATGTCAAAAAACACACAAAGTTACACAAAATTAAATCCAATACTGTCAGGATCCAAACAAAAAGTTTATTTGATGGTTTCTTGTTTTGACCCATGTCTCCATATACTTCTCCCAAGATTCTTTGAAATGTGTTGAATAGTTTTAACTTTGCAAACTTGGGTGTTTTTCTTTGTTTTATGCATTTGAAAAACTCTGGGATCGTGTGGACGGCACTGCAGCACTGAAGCCTTTTAAAACCTAAATGTGTGGATGTGGCCTCACACTCACCTTTTTATCATTTCCAAGTAGACAAATATTTCTTTACCTCAGCAGTGTGATAATATAATTCAGCAACAGGTCAATGAATGGTTAAAATGCTCATTAAACACAGAATTACATGTTTGTGTTGAGGTCAAACTGCTCCTTGAAAGTATAAGAACCTAAAAATCATGCAAAGTGAGGTGGATTTCTTCTTTTTCCACAAACCACTAAAGGATAATTTATACAAATTGATAAATGTTTTTTTAATATAATGAATCCCTTTAAACTGTGGTTTTAGCAGCGCTCACAAATCAAATGAAAACAAGTGGAAAGCAAGATAACCATGATTTTATGGTTAACACAGATACAAGATGAGGAATGTTGCATTTTGCAAACGTGTTTTTTGTTTAGTTGTCTCAATGTCGAACGAAGATAAGGCAGTGATTCATTTATTTAGAGAAGGACACAGGGATCGCAGAGAATTGTAGCTCAGAGAAAAACAAACACAGTAGGTGTGTGGCCCCATGAAGCATCAGTCGGTCCGACACTTTCAGAATGATTTATCTTGAAGATATGGACGTGGATTGAAATTTGGACAAAACTATCAGAACAAAACTATTAAAACTATTATCTTTGGTGATTCCCCAAGTTTCTTTCTTGTCTGAACCCTGAGTTGCCCCTGAAGGCTGTGTGGTGTGATAGATAAAGATAAATGGATAGATGCAGTGTATGAATGGGTTCAAATACAGAGGATTTATTTTTAATTTAGAGGATCTACTCATTCAAGAATGTCACTGTGGATAATAGTGTCAAATAAATCTCTGTAGTCGTCACCGTCAGCAGCGGGGGAGCATGAAACTAACCTGACAACAGATAACATCTCGGTGTTGTGTTGGTGGCAGTCACTGGAGGGGGAGTGGCTTTTAAATACCACTTTAATCTGCCCCCCTGGCTTTCTGTCCAATGGGAACGAAGAGTTGCGAACAGAGGATAGCACCAGACAGACCTATATAACAGATTGAGACATGCAGAGGTAATCCAACAGGGTTCAAATCTCTGCTCACACGTGATTATCAGTTTTTCTCCACTCTTCTTTCTGGGTTATTCAGAGCAACTGATTTGCCGTCCGGTGAATCCACTCCGATCGCTGCCGGTCTCTGAACGGCACTAAAGTGAAGTGAGGGTAATTTATTGGTTAACATTTGGTTTATCGCTCTCAAATGTCGTAATTTGTTTTTAACGGAGAATCAGCAGCGAAGGGGAAACAGGAGATGAGAGATGTGTTTGTTTTACAGCAGGGACACAGGTGGTTCTGAGAGACAACAGCCACGATGGCGTTCCTCCGCTCACATAATCCTTCTCCTCGCAGAAAACTGCCAGCTGCAGCTTTGTTGTCTTGCAACGAAGCCACTTTCTGTTTCAAATTGAAAGACAAAGTCCTCACAATGGGCCCACGACACGGAGATTAAGTGGTTATGCAAGAAAATGTATCCCTCTCCTGCCAATTCCCCGACAATAGCGTCGTTTCAGATGAAGATCCACCGAGAGATTGTTTCTAAAATGATTGGATTTGGCTTTTGAACCCGTCTGATGAGATCCTAAAACATTTTACAGAAGGCATTGCAAACACAACATGCAGGCTGGTTTAAATATATGCATTTAATAACATCAAGTGAAAAAAGCAGTCATTTATGAACAAGACAGCGAGCGCCAAACAAACTTGTCAGAGCTTGTGTGTGCATCATTGACATCCTCTCATCCTGGCTCGATAAAGCGTCGCTTTGTGCATAGTACATCTGACACAATGAAGTTTATACACAACAAGAGTGGTGCATCAGAGTGACACTAATCCCCACAACTAGATCAAATGATAGAATAAACCCGGCGCGCACAAACGCCCTTGACCTAAATATTTACAAGATAACCGTGAGCATTCTCTCTGTCCGTGGTGAGAATGTTACTGAGGCACATGTTTTTCAGTCATTTGTGTGGGTAGGAAATAAAAAAGTGGTGGCAGTACATGCAGTCGACTTAGTGACATTCTAGTTTTAAGCATGAAATGGGAACATTCCTATGTATATCATGGTACAGTCTGTAATATGTAATCTGTCCTCTCACATTATCATTTAAATCAAGCTGGAAATCAAACATAATGCAAAGCTCGACACATTTCAAAAATGTAACCACAAACTTGAGATCAGAAATTACTTGGCGACACTATTCCATATATATTTATTGCAAGTATCAAAAGCTTTAACGTCACATATTCATATTAAAGTTAAAGTCTTACAACCAATGCTGAATTAACAGTCTCCGACATGATTCTCTGTTGGTGAGTGAAAAAAGCAACCCAGGGGTCAAAAGGGTCAATATTCACTTGACTTGTACGATGTGGACCTGATGTGTTTAAACAACGCAGAGACATTTGTTTAATGTGTCTAATTCAAAGACTCTGTGTGTATTTCCCCAAATCTGTTCAAATTTAAACATAATTACATGCTACATAAAAAATTCCACCTGTCAAAGCAGAGGTTGTTCAGCCACCATGACACATCTCTGCCAACAGTCTGTCGACATCACTCTGTCCCAGGACCATGAGATATTCATTAGTTAGATAACACGGCCGAGTGGGCACCGAGACTTTCAGCTCTTAAATTAGAAGCTCAACAGACTGGCACTGATGCCTTCGAATAGATGTCTCTGTCTCTGAGGGTCCCAACGGAGGGGAGGGTCCATATTGCAAAGAACCGACAGACACCGTGAAGACCCCTTTCAGCTCTGCTTTAAATAAGCTTCATGGTGAACCTGCCACCATCACCTCCCTCTCCTCCTCCGCCCATGGACGATCGAGGAACAAAGTCAATAGTTGCCGTGTGCTTGATCTGTCCTTTGCTCTGGCTCCAGAAGAACATGAAGACGAAGCAGATGGCCACCGAGCTGAGAAACGACAGGAAGCCCATGGTAGTGGCGATGATAAGCGTCTTTGCGTCGAACGGGTACGGCTTGGCCATTTGAGCCGAGGAGTTGGCAGCTTGGGGATTCGAAGGCTCCGCCCAACCCTCCTCTGAGAAGAAAGGGATGGTTCTGTTACGGGGGAGGCCCTTCACATAGAGGCCGACAGTCAGGCTGTCATTGCCGGCCGCGTTGCTCGCCAGGCACTGATAGGTACCACTGTCCTGTACTTGGGCAAAACGCACTTCTAGAGTGCCGTTGGGCAAAACTCTGATCCTTCCTGTTGCAGAAACCAAATTCTTGTGGGAGGAGATCCAGGTGATGGATGGGAACGGATCCCCGTCAGCTTTGCAGGAGAAGAGAACTGTCGTACCCTCCTCCACTCTGGCCTCCTGCGGCCTGCGGTCCATGATTCGAGCAGGGCGGCAGGTAAACAGCCGCGGGAGTTCCTTCTCTGAGAAGTCTCTGAATTCACGCTGTCTCACTGCATCCGGGGAGGAACAAGTTGGCTGATGTCCGTCAAAGTTCAAACGTAATCTGCGACGGACTACCCACAGAAGGCGGCAGTCACATGACAGGGGATTCCCATCCAACCGCAGCACCTGAAGGTTCCCCACAGAGTGGAAGACACGCTCCTCCAAAGTAGCAAGCTGATTGAATGTCACATTGAGCATACGAAAGTAGGCCAGTCCCCTGAAGGCCCCTGGCTCTATTCGTAGCAGGCTCCCCCCTGCTAGGTGTAACTCCTGGAGTCGCAGGAGGTCACTGAGCAGATTACCTTGGATAACAGTGATGGGGTTGTAGGATAGGTCCAGGAAGCGCAGGTACACCAGGTGACGCAGCGCTGAATAAGGAACAGCACTGAGGTTGCAGCTGCTGATGACAAGCGAGGTCAAATTGAGACCAATCAGGCTGTTGCTAGCTATAGAGTCCAGGGCTGGCCAGTTTGCTATCAGGAGGCTGCGCAGACGGTGGAGTCGTCGGAAAGCGTTGTTAGGAAGTGTCGTGATGGTCAGGCGCAGCATTCGAAGACGCGTCAGGCTCTGGAGCTGCGACAATGCCTCAGTGGGAATAGACGTCAGGTTGCTGCGATCTAAATTGAGCTCCTGCAGATTCTGTAGACCAACGAACGCCCGCTGCGAGATGAACACTAAATCATTCTCTCCAGCCTCCAGCGTTTGCAGGCTCACCATTTCTTTGAAGGTGTAGTCCAGGAAGACCAGAATCTCATTCTGGCTTAAATCTAGAAGGCGCAGGCCGGACAGGCCAGAGAACACCCCGACTGGGATGATCTTGAGTCGGTTATTCTTAATCCGAAGCGTCCTGAGATTCTGCAGGCCTTGGAAAGCCTCTACCTCAATCATGGAGATTATGTTATCGCTGAGGTCCAACTCTTGAAGTTGCAGGAGGCCAGAGAACTGGCGGCGGCCCACTGTCTTAATCTTATTGTGAGAGAAATCCAAACGCCTGGCATCGCTGGAAAAGCCCTCTGGCACAGAATTCAAATGTTTTCCAGAGCAGATCACTTCTTTGACCTCGGGTCGACACACACAGCGTGACGGACAACCTCCTGCAGCTACACCCAGTCCAAACTGGAGCAGGACGCTCCACGCCCCCCACCGGACGACTGACTCCACAAACATCTTACCCCCTGCCTGAAAAGACAGAAAGACAAGTTCTGATGAGTTATGAGCTTGACTGAGAAGCATTTTTTGTCTTAGTTTACTTAAAACTTGTGCCTGGACGTACCGTTTCAGTCTCGGTGTGCAGATTTTCATAACCAGTGGCAGTCAAGTTGGAATCAGACTCGAGTTAAGTCCTGTGTTTGGAGGAAGTTCCGTCAGTAACATGCCCTTTAGAATTTCCTGAACAGAGACACAGAGACAAAATTACAAGTTAATAACATTTGGTTTAAACAATGGATCCGGTGACAAAGGGGGAAAAACAAGTCAGCCTCGAAAAAAGAGGGTGTGGTGCGAGTCTGTGTTTTACAATGTGAATTAGGTTGTTTTCAATATTTCCACAGCAGCTTGAAACTGAGGGGGCTGTTTGAAAATGACCGAGTGACATTCTGGTTCTAAATTAAAGAGTTTTAAGATAAAATATCAGCTAATATGATCCATCATCCCTCAGATTGTTGCTCCAGCTTTCACTTGTTCCAGCTCAGAACCAGGAGGCCAAGAAGGCGAATTAAAAAACAACACAAATACATTTTTACAGACGGTCCCGTCCTGCGTGTAAATAATTAATTTTACAGCAGCTGGTCTCATAGAGAACAATGACCATGCAGAGAAGCAACGAGACTCTTGAGCCTTTTCTGTTTGATATTTTTTTCTCTCTGTCTCAAATTCATTTGGTTTTCCTTGACGTGTGTCTTTGTTCCTGAATGTGAGGGATAACCCAACAGAAAGTGCACATGCTTTAAATCAGAGCGAGTCCAGTGTGAAGCAGATGTCGCGGCTGATAAGACCGAGTGACATCTCTGTACGCAGACGACCAAATCCCTACTTAACTGATTATCAAAGAACACATCTCACTTTTTACTCGGGACATTTTATCCCCCAAAGACTGGAAAAGAACCATTAATAGAACTTAATGCTCTTTGAAGTGTCCACATATGGTCTTTTCTACCCCCCCCCCCCCAAAAACGAGAAAAATAAGTATTAGTGCGTCCAGGCCCATGTGTCGAGCCTCTGAGAGCACAGATGAGGCCTCGGGGAGAGGAAAGCTTTGCTCTCTGGGCCGAGCATCTGGATTTAGGCTGAGCAGCTGCAGTCAGAGTCGTACAGATTCTCTGAATAACATGAGTTTGTTTAAAGTTTATAAAGCAAAAACACTTGAAATCTACCACATGCTGCAGGTAGTGAACCCCTAAAAGACAAATGTGTGAAGTCACAGTTATTTATTATCATTTACATTTTTATTCAATTTGAATATTTCTACAGAAACAACTCTTTTTAGTTCTTAAGTTCAGTTAAATTTATGCACGATTCTGTTTCCAGAAAGAATCCATATATTTGAATTAATGAGATTTTTTAATATTTTAACTTCGGATCTTTGTTCCAAGGTGAGAAACTCGTGTCCAATGTTACGATTACTCACCTCTGATTACTGGCATGAACAGAGAGCATATTCTGAATTATTGTAAGACACTGACTCATCTGAGGCGAGGACTGGCCAGCTTTTAAAAGACTGGCTGAAATTCATCTGCAGTAGCAAAGCTCCAGACGCACAATGCTTTGGATTGATATCCTCAAAAAAATCTGGCAAGAAAAACCCAATAAGAACTAAAAATCTAAATTAAACAGCATAAAAATAGTTGTCGAAATGAAAAAATGTTACCGAGGCAGAATGAAGAGAGGAATCAAAAATGACTTCTCTGAAAAAGTCCATGGAGTCTCTGATGTAAAACGTTGTACGATAAAACAATAAACATTATTCTTCAAGTGTTATTTAAACCACCACTGCTACAGGACGTGCAACAGAAGTAACCTAAAAAAACAAAATCCACTCCAATTCTTGCAACGACAACGTCCCCGAGCTGCACAGACGATACAAAGACCAAAACATAACTGTTCAGTTTCCTCTTAAACCTTAACGGGTACAATCCAGATGGAGAATAACCTGCAGCAGCTTCTCACTCACCATGAGACACTTTGGACTCGCTGCAGCGTCGCCTCTGAGGGGCAGAGTTGTTGACAGTCCCAGAGCGGCACAGTCTTTGTATCAAGCTGCTCCTCATGCAAACAGCTCTTATAACCGGCTGGCCGGAAGCACTGACTCACAACCCCAGAGTTGTTCTCTCAGACGACAACAGACACACACCGATACTAACTTTCTTCATGTTGGAACTCACGTACAAGTGATCACAGCTACAACAAAAATATCTGCAAAATCCTTTAATTAAATTTAACTTTTATTTATTCATATTTTTTGTGTTGTTTTATGGGAATTCTTGCATAACAACACTGCTTTTGTACTTCCAGATTTATATTATTGACTTAAAATTTCTGATTTAGCAAAAATGTAAATATCTTGGATGATTTCAAGTCAAGAAATCTTTATTATCCCCGAACCGAAGGGTAATTTGGTGCACAGCCAGCAATCAGTGCGCAGCAAAACAAACAGTGTTTGACTTGAATCAGACGACACAGATTGGGACTTCTTCAAAGATCTCGTCACACTTAATTTTCAAACCAACAAATAAAACAATCAAATGTGAAAAAGCTGATTATTGGCAAAGAAATGTCTTTTCAAACTTTGCAAACCCTCATCAGTGTGTTCAGTGTCTCATCTGCGTGTAATACATGAGGGGGATTCACAATTTAAAAGTGTTGACCCCCCTCAGGGGGCCAACGTGTGAGAGACGGAGTCCGGCAGGTGCGTGATGTCTCAGAGAGGGTGGGGGGGGGGGTGTTCCCTCAGTTGCCGAGCCCTTCCAACCAATCGGGGACCAGCGTCGCTCGTCCTTCTGCAACTCTGCACACATCATAAAGCTGCAGTTCATCCAAGGTCGCGACCTCGGAGTCACGGCCGGGACTGACCCCGTCCGTCAAATTAGAAAGCGAAGGAATAAATGCGTTTGTAATTTCGACATGTATTTCACACCCGGCGTGAGAGCGCGGTCACATGGGTGTCGCATTACAGTGTTAATTACGCTAACTATTTTCTATTACGCGCAGCCACTTGTCGTTTCTATTAATGACGTTTCGAATTAGAGCGGACGACGGTCACCGGAGGAGCCGTTAATGCCGAGGTTTAAATCTCTGGATCACACAGAACTAAAAACAACTCAAACTGGTGATGTCTTCAGAAAAATAACGTCCTGCTCATTTTAAAGGAGGAGGCATGTTTATGATCATAGGGTTTATTAGAAAGTGTTTGAGAAAGAGTTTGACAAACACTTGATGAAGAGCAAAACATTTTACAAATCTAAGGTGGATCCACTGTGTGTTAAACCTCCTCTTTGTGCTTACAAAATGTATAATCATTATATTTTTATATATATATATATATATACTGTATATATATATACACACTGGACACTTGTTATTGAACAACAACCAACAGTTTTTTTTTTGCCTTAATCAAACTTTCTGCTTCCATTGATCCGCTCTGTTTAATTCTCTTACTAATGCTGATGTTTGATTACTGACGAAACCTTCACCATCTGCTCGAGTCTTGGATTTGTCAAGTTGCAGTCTGGCCAGACACTGTCGAGGCCGACTGAACCATCATGAAGTGGATGTCCCTGCAGAAAACGTTTAGCAGAACTTAAAAAAAACAACCTTCCAGTCTCCTAAAGCCGAGCAAGCTCCAGCTGTTACCTCATAAACCCTCACCAACAAAATGCAGACACTATCGAAGCCAATTGGACGTGACCTCCCTTCAGACAATCCTCCAGCAGAGATGACGTCTTTTGGACGAACTCCCATCGTCGCTTAATTCTCCGAGATAATTCAACTTCTCTTACTTTGCTCAGTTTGTGCTCGACTCTATCATCAGACCGAACTCATCCCGTCTCTCAGCTCGGCTCCTCATCGCCTGTCATCAACCTGCCGACTCTTTCCAGCCTGTGGTAAAATCAGGACCATCGTTTATTCTTCACTGTACTCGGTTTGCTCTATGTTCCTCCGATGGTCACGATTATGACAGAATCATGTCCACGATGCTGCCGGTGAAATTAAAAATCAATCAGCGGAATGATTTCACTGGGCATCGCATCACCAGAGTGTAATTATCAACACGTGTGGTGTTTGTGTGCAGGTTCTGCTGCTCTGCACCAAAAGATCTGATGAAACAGTTTTTAATTTTCTTCCAACAGCTCCCTCATGAAGACACGATCACATTCACCAGATCCACATTTTAATTGGATCTGCACCAAATTACTCATAAATATCAGTTTCATTTCTTTTATTAAGATCCACTAATGGAAAATCCTTCAATCAAGTGTCCCGGTGATCCGTCAAGTACTTTTTGTTAAATACTGCAAACTAACAGACGCTCGTGTCTCCACTGAGGATAATGTCCTAACTCTTTATTTCATCAAATATCTTGACAGTGTTCGCCGCCATATTCAAATTTCTCTTGCCATAGTTTCACAATGAATCAAAAATACTTTTAACACTTCTCATAATAATATTAAGATCTCTAACTTGGTGGTTTGCTCATGCAGCATGTGCAGCGTGTCCATAAAGTTTTTACTTTCCTTGCAGACCGTAGTTTCGGTTGCACTTGCATCGATCCACACCAACATTAAATGGGTTCCTTCATGATTCATACCACGTGATGCAGACTTCAGTCTTTGCAACAGGTGAATGAAAGCGGAACATGGGCCCACTGGATGAGTTCGGACACTGCAGAGCACGAATCCCCGTGCGAAGCAGCCTCTCTGCTGGAGTCGGAGCCTGCCGAGGGTTTTCTGACACTGGTCTGAGGGTTATTTTTAGCTTGTCACAGTGAGAAAGACAAGAGCTCGGCTCAAATCCCCAATTAAAGAGTCTGGAACAGAACAACAATGCAGGGATCACAGAGTCGGCCTGTGCCTTTGCACTTTTGTGTAGCGTCTGTATGTTTCCAGTGGTTGAATGTGTGTTTGAATGTGTGGTGGTGGTGGAGCTGGTGTGAGTGTGTTCTTTATGGGCTTCTGGCACCTGCTGCAGTGTGATGGCCCCTGAGACCCCCTGCATGCAAGCAGCAAATATTAAAAGGTTTCCTGGCACAACAGCTGTCGCCTGAAAAACAAAAGTGCCCCGCTCAGTCCTCTTTGGGTTTGTCGGGGGGCAAAGGAGTCGCAAACAAGTTTATTTCGGGAGATACGTCTTTGTAAATAAAACAAACTAAAGGGGACTGGGACACAAACAGC